AGGAGAACGGTCTGCGGGAAGCAGAAAGCACTACGAGGTTGATTACACATGTTACTAAGACACTAAGCTAATCCCTGAATAGGTTATTAATTAATGCCGAGTCTCCTTTCTGTAAATTGGACGTTTTAGGAGCTGAATGTAAAACTCTGCGAGGTCGGATCAGGGCACGAAGGCAGGCTGGCCCAGCCGCACACGGCGGCCGCGGAGGGCAGTGTTGGACGGATGATCTGGTGTAGACAATGTCTTCTTGGCTAGCCTTTCCACAGTCCACTCCTTCCGGGGGGAAGGGGGGACCCAAAGGTGACGCGGCAGCCGCCTGGGTGGGCTGTGGTTCAGGGGAGCTGCTGGAGCTCACCCACTGGAGGGGAGGGACAGGACCTGTGGCCGAGGGGGGTGGTCACAGCCAAGTGCTTTCCACCAGGGATTCACCGTGGGGTTCCCGAGTGTGAGTCAGCATTTTGCCCCACCCTCCTACTTCCATTCTCACCAGCTCTGATGATCAGAAGTGAAGGTGGCCCTGAGCTGGGGCAGCCAGGGGCAGGTGGCGGGTCAGCGGAGGGAAAAGGGGACATCTGTAAGGCCTTCCACGATAAAGGTAAATTCAAAACCAGAAAATCCAGGTGGCTGGCCAGCGGCTCAGGTGGCTGGAGCACCCGGAACGCGGACAGTGGCAGTTGAACTCCATCCTGGGCAGGCACCCTCCCAGGCTGTCCAGGGCGGCAGTGGCGGGTGGGGGTGCGGGGGTGTGATGGGAGGTGAGGGCAGACCTTCAGTGTCTCCCTCTCTCCCTCCCTTTCTCCCTAAGTCAGTACCCCTGCCCTCAGCTGAGGCCTGGGAGGCAGGAGGCAAGGAGGGCTGAGTGGGGGAGTGTGCTCACAAAAAAAAATGAAACTTTCGCAGATGCTTTCCAAATGGACGACGGCCCAGCCCGAAGTGCTTCCTGTCTGATCCCGGTGCCTGGGGGCTCCTTGCCCGAGGCACCGGAATCCTCGGGCCCAGAGAGAACGTGGCCATTGCCCTGTTTCTCTCCTCCGCCTCCCAGACCCCCAGGGGGAGGCCCGCGAGGCTGGGGGGTGAGGCTCTCCGGACTGAGCCAGCGCAGGGCGTGACTCCCTCTTGGCCACCACGGCCGTGGGTCCGAGCTCCAGGGAGTGTCTCTGTCCCCTCCGGTGACTGCCAATCTGCGGACCCCAGCTGCCCCCAGGCGTGGTGATGAGAGGTTCCGGCATGTACAGAGCACAGGCACGCGTGTGTTCATGTGTGATGACTACATAGCTCTCAGCCACAGCCCAGCGAGGTCCATACTGTCATCCCCATCTCACAGATGAGGAAACTGAGGCACCAAAAAGCTAAGCCACTTGCATAAGGCTGCATCGCAGCGCGTGTCTGGGCCAGAGTTCCTGACCGGCCACCCAGGTGCGGGGTGTGTGGGGCCTGCCAACGACGGGGAGGGGACTCAGTGTAGAACAGCAGGCGAGACGGCAACAGGAATTCTGCGTGTTGTCAGCCCAGCGTCGTGCCATTCAGGGACCAGAGAGGCAGCCACGGTGTCTGCCGCTCCGGGGCTGAGCCGGCCCAGCAGAGCGTGTGGCCAGGTGGCAGGGAGGCCTGCGAGGATTCGCTCTGTGGCTCCCCTCTTCCTGTCCTCACCCAGAAGAATGAGGTGTGCCTACCCGGGGGCAGCCCCCGACGCCCTTCACAGCTCCATTTCCCTTCCAGTCCTGTCTATGCGTCCCTAACCAGCTGGGGTTTCTCCGCAGCCAGACTTCGTCCCATGCACGGCCTGTGTTCCGGGAACCTGGGTGTGGCCCTCAGAGACATCAAGCATCTTCTCCCCCAGCCTCCTGGGCCTCTGGACTCGTCCTTAACCAGAGGCACCCCAAAGCCATCCACAGGGCTTTGGCAGAAGAGGGGCGTGCCCTCCCCGACCCCAACCAATCCTGGTGGCTCTGTGTGGAGGGGGGCGGGGCACCGCTACCAAAAGCTGGGTCCCCAGGCTTCCCTGGGGTTCTCTGGGCCCCACTCAGAGGAATACTTGTTGTAGGTGGCCCCTCGGGGGCAGGGGGGCTCCATCAGGGATCCAGGAGGAAGGGAAGTGGCTAGGAAGCCACGTTCCCTGAGCAGTGTGCCCACACCTGGGTGCGGGTGGGCAGCGGCACAGCGAGGTTCCCCTGGTGGACAGGACTCTCCTGAGCAGTGACAGTCACCTGTGCGTCTGCAAGCCGGTGCCGCTGGGTGGGCCCCTGCAGGCTGCTGGCAGCCCGGAGGCCCGGCTCAGGCGGGGAGGAAGTATCCGGGACGGTGACGGAACGAGGGTCTAAGTCCTGGCTGCTCGGCTGCCGGTCCCACAGCACACAGGACCCCACTGAGAAGTCTCTCCAACGACAGACGCTCTCACACGGCCGTGACGCAGGACATACCACCCCTCAGTCAGGTCCCCAGTCTGCCTCTGGCTGGGAGGAAGAACAGCAGCAGGACCTCCCAACATGGCCCAGAGCCTCAGCCACCGGAGCGCCCTGGGCCCTGGGAGGTCACGGCCCGCCAGGCGGCCAGGCCTCCGCCCGCTGCCTGCCCCCTTCCCCTGTGGCTTGTTCCGGTTGTGCGGCCGTGGTCCTGGCACCCACTCTGCTTTCTTAGCATGAGGTCAGTCCCTCAGTGGCCGTTCTGTCATTAGGGGCACACGGAGCTGGTTCACCACAATAAACGCCCAATGTCAGTCCCTGGGATTGTTCCCGGACGGCCCGGGCCCAGCCTGCATGCCGTGTGTGCGTCCTTGACTTCATGCAGGAAAGATCTGACAACTTGACCCAGGAGGGTTGTTTATTAAAGCTGGGACAGTGAGGCAGGGAAGAGCTCAGGCAGAAGAAGCAACAGCAGAGAGTCAGAGAGCAAGGGGCCCTGGAGGCGGGTGCAGCTGAGCCTGGGACAGACCGCCACTGCCTGATGCTCCCCTGGCTGGGGTCTCGTGGGGTCCCCGCGCTCTGGGAGAAAAGTAGCAGCGTGACAAGGCGTGGGTGTGGTCAGCTAGAGGCACTAGGTCCTTGTCTGAGGCTCTTTCTCTTCCTGTGGCCGGTGGAACCTTCGGAACCTGCAGGGGGGCTGGGCAGGGTGTTCACTGGCTCTCCAGCCGTGGCCTCCGGTACGCTGCTTCACCAAGATGTGCACATCAAGAGGCCGCCATTAAAGGGGGACTGGACCAGACTGGTCTGCCCCGGGCAGTCTGGAGTGTGTAACCCACTAGCTCCCAAGAGTTCTTGCCTGGGGAAGACAGAAACTGGGATTCACTAGCCGGCTGTAACCTGCTCAGACGGTTTGATCTTGTTTAATTATTTCCCTCAGTTCCTTTGTTCACTTGTGAAGGAGTTCCCCTGCCTTCCCACTCTCCTGCCACAGAATGGGCCTCCCACTATGTGCTTGTGGGATTACATTGGTCATTATCTCTAAATGAGCCTGGAGGGAGGGAGTGTACTCGGTGCACAGACCGTGTACGCGAAAGGGTCCCGAGACCAGGAGCTGGTTGGTGCCAGTGGAGCCGCTGGCCCCAGGGTTCTGACCTTCTGCTTGGGAGGTGTGTTCTCTCAGCTTAAAAAACACAGCAGAACTGTTCTCCCTGGAATCACTCTCAGTCCTACAAAGCTCACCCGTGGTTAACACTCTCGTAGCCAAGATGCTGGGGGAAGGTGGGATACCAGCGTTCCTGGTGGAAATCTCACACTCAGCGTCCGTCTCAGTTCTGGTGGAAATGGACCATTTTGTTTTCTGCCTTCAAAGGCGAGGGGCACACTAGCACGGCTGTGCACGAGGGAGTCTGTGTGTATGCATGAATAAGGATATACACAATATAAACATGGTATACACACATTATATACACAATATGCACAGAGTATGCATACAGGATACACACGATATGCACAGGATGCCTTCAATATATACAGTGCATACATACACATAGGACACACACACTATGCACACAGGATATACACAGTATGCACACAGTATACACAGAGTTACAAACACACAGGATACACGTTATATACATGATACACAGAGGATACACACAATATATACAGCATATACATGCACATGGTATACACACAGGACACACATGCTATGGCATAGGATATATGCATAATGAACAGAGCATACATACAGTATACACATGGTATACACACAGGATGTACAAAGTATGCACAAAGTATACTTACAGTATTCACACAGTATATACATGGTTTACACACAATATACACAGGATATGCACAGTATGCATACAGTATACACACAGGTTACATATGATATATGCACAGGATATACACAGTGTACAAGGAGTATACATTCAGTATATACACGGATATACCGGTACATAATATACATAGAGGATACATACAGGATACATATAGTATACACATAGAATGCACACGGTATACACTCAGGATATGCACAGTTCACACAGAGTATGCATACAGGATACACATGGTATCCACACAGTGTACACATGATAGACACACAGTATACACACAGCATACACATGATGTCCACTCAGTATATTTACAGTGACATCCACACAGTGTGTACACAGTGGGCATGAACCCCTAAGCGTCCCCTGGAGCTGGGCTGGGTGTCCTGGGCTCAGCCTCCAGCACAGCCGGCTCTCTCCCGTGGGTCGGCCTGGCTGTGCCTGCGTCAGCGTTTACGGACTTCCTTCTGAGGGGGTTCTGTTCAGATCCACCCCCTCAGCAAATAGGAATCCAGCTCAAAGAGCGCTTGTTAGGCTCAGGGGCTCACGTCTGTGTCCCGGGTCCCGGGGTCAGCCTCGGCTCAGCCAGGCCCCGATGGGCAGGTTGGTGTGTGAGCCCTGTGGATGGGGGCAAATGCAGGATCGGGGACCTCGCAGAGGCTGGAGAGCGCAGTGTCGGGCTTCACATCTCCTGGCAGCTCGTGGCCGTGCCTGCTCACAGTGGACCTGCTCCGCGTGCTGACTGTTGGCATCTGTTCCCCCTTAGAGGAGATCTTGAAGACCCACATCGCCCACTGGTGGTCTCCGGACGGCACGAGGCTCGCCTATGCCACCATCAATGACTCCCGCGTGCCCGTCATGGAGCTCCCAGCCTACACGGGTGCCGTGTACCCCACGGGCAAGCTCTACCACTACCCCAAGGTAGGTGAGACGCCACAGCAACAAACTGCGCCCTCGGCCCCCAGCCAGCCACCCCACGATGGGGCTGGGCACACAGACGGTGCGGAGCACACAGTCAGAGGCAGGCTGAATGACTTCCCCTACGTGGCGTGCTGAGTTCAATTTGTTGGTGAAGCTACTTTATTTTAAACAATTGAGCTGTGTTAACCTTGTGTCTAAGCTTCATTCCAGGTGACGAACCCTCACACCGCAGACACCCCCTCATCCCTTTCAGGGTCTGTTTCTGGAGAAGCAGGACTGTCTGCCAGCCCCGGGTCCACAGTGGGCTGAGGTCTTGGTTGTGTTCTGACTGGTAGTGTGTCCACCTGCTTCCCACACCAAGTTGCCGGCAGCAGGAGCCAGCAGGAGATGGTGGGTGGGACGGGGCCAGCACCCCACCTCTCCTGTTAGCAAACGGGAGCAGCGCAGTGCCAGTGGGGGCGGAGGGACGGACAGGGGGACTGATGCCCAAACCTCTCCTGCCTGCTCGGTCGGAGAGAGTGGACACACACGGCAGCTGTCCTGCTACCCGTGCGCTGCACTAGACTGCCCCTGCGCCCACCTGGCGACAGCGCTCACTTCCCACCTGGGCCAACTAGCCCTGAGCCTCAGCTGCCCACGCCATCAGAGGGCCCTGGGGTGCAGCCACATGCTGTACACAAGACACCCTGGACGTGCCAGCGGGGAATTTTTGTAGGAGGGACGATAGGTAGTATGCAGATGAGGCCAGCCAGGTGCAGAGTGTTTCAGTCAGCTCGTGCGGCTGTAACAAACACGGCATTCAGCAGACACGTGTTCCTCGCGGGCTGCAGGCTGGGGTCTAAGGAGGCGCCAATGCAGTCGGGCTCTCCTGAGAACCCTCTTCCAGGTTCCAGCCGGCCACTCCCACCTGCGTCCTCACGCGGCAGAGAGCGCACTCTGGTGTCTTCCTCTCCTTCTAAGGACACAAACCCCAACATGGGGCCCCACCCTCATGCCTCATCTAACCCCGGTCACCTCCCAAAGGCCCCACCTGCAGACCCAGCCCAGGGGCCCGGGCCTCACGTTTTCATTCGGGAAGAACACGGACTCCGTCCATAGCAGCTGGTAGGACAGACCCATTCCTTAGCCCTTCCAAAGTGTGCTGTTGTTTCCGGGACTGGTTTAGCTCAATGGATAGAGCGTCGGCTTGGGGACTGAAAGGTTCCGGGTTCCATTCCAGTCAAGGGCATGTACCTTGGTTGCGGGGATATCCCCAGTAGGGGGTGTGCAAGAGGCACCTGATCGATGACTCTCTCTCATCGATGTTTCTAACTCTCTCTCTCTCTCTCCCTTCCTCTATTAAAAAAAACAAAACAAACAAAACAAACAAAAAAAAAACAAAGTGTGCTGTTGTCTAGCGAGGTCCCAGGTGGAGACGTGTGGTCCCAAGGCCAGAGCTCTGCCGTGTTCCTATCCTAAGGCACCTGGCTCTCAGTGTGTGACCAGGATATGCCTCTGACAGAATCCCTTCACTCCGGCTCCAGCTTGTCATTCACCAAACCCGTGGAAGGGCCTGGGTGACAGCTGGATAAGTTAAGTAAAGCGTGCTGGATGATGCCCAGCCTCTAACCCATCCACATGCATGCACACACACACACATACACACACACTCACACACACTCTACAGCCCGGCTGTCTGACCTTCATCTGATCACTCACAGCTGGAGTGGTTTCCCAGAGAAAGCCCTAATCTAGGAGTGAGGACCCTGGCCTCACAGTGAGGACCCTGGCCTTACAGTGAGGGCCTTGGTCTTACAGTGAGGACCCTGACCTTACAGTGAGGGCCTTGGCCTTACAGTGAGGACCCTGGACTTACAGTGAGGACCCTGGTCTTACAGTGAGGGCCTTGGTCTTACAGTGAGGACCCTGGCCTTACAGTGAGGACCCTGGACTTACAGTGAGGACCCTGGTCTTACAGTGAGGGCCTTGGTCTTACAGTGAGGGCCTTGGTCTTACAGTGAGGACCCTGACCTTACAGTGAGGGCCTTGTCCTGACAGTGAGGACCCTGACCTTACAGTGAGGACCCTGGTCTTACAGTGAGGGCCTTGGTCTTACAGTGAGGGCCTTGGTCTTACAGTGAGCTCTGGGACAGGTGCTCAGAAGTCAGGTTGATAAAACCCCAGATCACTGAGTGAGATTTCATATTTCAATAGAAAGTCACTGTATTCTGACCACAGAACTCAGCTGCTCTTTGCCCCATGATGCTTCTCCCAAATCAGAGCCATGAGCTGCCACCTGCCTCTGCTGTGTCTTAGGGCGGGTTTCCTCCTCCCCCTGAGCTTCTCCCTCTGCTGGGAGCAAAGGAAGCGAGGGCATCAGTCACACCCACAGTCCTGCTGACGGCCCCACACCACAGAGTCCCCTCCCCTTCCTGCCGGCGCCCTGGCCCAGACAGAGGGTTTTCCCTACCGCTGGGCCACACCGTCATCACCATCCTCTCCACTTCCAGAATTTTCTCTCCTTCTCCTTGTCTATTTGTTTCCCACTCCCAGTGGCTAAGCCCATGGAGTGGAGCTCACCTGGTGATGGCAGGGAGTGGGGAGGGGGGGCCTCAGTGAGGAGGGGGCAGGCTCCGGCCAGGAGAAGGGTCGGCTCAGGCAGGAGCAGCTGCCTCAGCACGCTTTGCTCTCAGCTCTGAGCCCCGGCCGGGGTGTGCGGGAGGACCACACACAGGGCCTCACGTCCTGCCTCTCACCCTCCAGGCCGGCTGTGAGAACCCCACCATTTCGCTGCACGTCATCGGCTTGAACGGGCCCACCCACGACCTGGAGATGACGCCCCCTGACGACCCACGGATGAGGTTTGCGCCCCAGTTACGTTAGAAAGTAGCAATGACAAGTGAATGGCTGTTGAGGGGCCTGGTCTCCCCAGACCCCGGGGTGTTTACTGCTAACGTGAACATCCCCAGAAAACGGTAATTACCTTGTTTTCCGTGTTTGAGCTGGGTGTCCTGGCAAAGGGACACCAGTCCTACAGTCCCACATCTCACCTTGGACCAAAGGGCCGTGGGGTTACCACAGGTGTCCAGCAGGGGGCGCACTGACTCCATCTTTCCAGAAACAGCCAGTGGAATCGCCCTTTTTGTCCATGACGCCCCGTTTTTGGAGCGTTTTTTGGAGCCCTGAACCCGCTGCTTCATGAGCCAACATCCCCCTCCCCGCCCCCACCCGAGGGTGAGGATCAATTGGTGTTTTCCTAAGAAGGGATGGTTGGAAGCAAACTTTTGGAATTCTTGAATATCAAAAAGCTGTCGTCATTTTCTCACATTTGTTGGAAATTTCAGCAGTATGCAGACCTGTAGTTTGAAGACCATTGCCCCTCAGGTTAGTGGGTAGGCACCATTGCTTCTGGAACCCAGTGCTGCTGGTGGCCTGCTGTTCCTCCGATGCCTGTTCCGCTGCGGATCACCTATCTCCTTGTTCCAAAGCTGTTTAGATTTTGAAATAACACATCCAAATGGGTTTTCATTCATCACCTCCTCATTCAGAGCCTGTCAGCTGAAATTCCTGTTGGACACATTTCTCGGCTGCATGATACAGTACCTAGACCTCCAGTCCCCAGAACTTTCTCTGGGTCCCCCTGTGCAGGGATTTTAGGGTGCTGCTTTTTCAACCAGCCTCGTCGCTCGCCGCTCTTCTGTCTGCAGAGGAGGGGTGAGGGAACATGCCTGCCTAGTCCTTTATTATCATCACAGTTAGGTGTCCACAGAGAGGAACCGTTAACAAACACGATAAACCCGCCAGCTTATGCGGGAAACCTCCCGCTTCTCCTTATGACCTTCTTGTTTAAAAAGGAATCTCCCCTTCATAGAAATGATCACCACTTGCCATCCCACGAACTGCTAAGCATTTGGGTAAATTTTCTTTTGAGATTTTTTCCCTAGAAATGCGTACTTATTTGTTATTTGCTTGTCTGTTTTGTTTTGTTGTTTTGTTTTTTGTTTTGTTTTGTTTTTATCATTAAGCCATATTTCCAGCACCATTGGTTGTATAAATCTTTCTTTCCCCACTGATTTGGTCTGACACTTTTATAAAATACTAGAGGCCCAGTGCACAGATCTATGCACACTGAAAAACAGTTAATCAGAAGGTGGCCAGCGGGGTGGGACGAGGCAAGATGGGCCTGACACATCCTGGAGCCAACCTCCCATAGTCCCTCCCTGGCCAGCCACACCTGGGGCGGCACCAGAGCTTGAAGGGCATCTGCAGAGTGAGCAGGGTCCCTCAAGCAGGTGGGTCCCTGGGCCTGGCTGCAGGATCGGGCCAAAACTGGCAGTCTGACATCCCCCGGGGGGTCCCAGAGTGTGAGGCACCCTGCAAAGTTGCTGTTGCTTGGCAGCTCCTGCGTTCAGCATCTGCCCCCTGGTGGTCAGTGCACGTCATAGCTACCAGCCAGTTGCTTAGGCTTTTATATAGAGAGATTAAATTATATTAACTGTTCTGTTCCTATGGAAATCATTATGATTTAAGGCTGTTCACTGGCTTGTAGACCTGCTTATTCTTACAAGAGTAATAAGTCTAGGGCCAAACTGTAGCATTAGCAGCTTCTTGTATACACCCCCTCATGAGGGTTAGAATATTTTAAAGACTATCTTGGCCATTTTTGTCACTTCTTCTTATGTATAAACTTTAGAATTACTTTATTAGCTGAGCCCCTCGTGGAAAAGAAGCTCCTTGCTCTTCCTATTAGAATTCAGCGGCTTCTTTCAGTACTTACGTGGGGCAAGCGTGCCAAGTGCTGAAGATGCAAAGTGAGCAATGCGGGTGAGGTCCCTGCCACCAGCGCTTTTTGTGATCAGCCAGTTCTCCCCCAGATGGTCATGATTTTGAAAGCTTGGCCACGACTAGGAACATAGTGTGTTTGCCGTCCTCTCTCTTAAACGCTGTCTTTCTGTTTCATCAGTTGTGTTTTTGTCTTTAATCGTCCTTGAAAAAATTACTCAAAGTTTATAATTCTATGAAATATTCACCAATATTTCTTTTATTTTATATTATTTTATCACCTGATAAGGACTGTATAGTTGCATTCAGGCTGTGCGGGCAGATTGGTAGCAGCTTCAGAGCAGATGGGGACAAATGGGTTTAGAAATCACCTTCTCACGCACTGCGCTTGTCCCTTGTGCCTTCCCCGTGACTGCCCTCAGGGGCGGCTCGTCACGGAGCTGCGCTCTGTCCTGCTGGTAAAGGCACGCCAGGGTGTTAGATGCCTCAGGCCCAGAACCGGGGAGAGACTGAGCTGCCAGACTTGTCCTTTGTCAGACGTGTCAGCGGTGCCCACGGGCACGGGGCCTGGGGGAGCATGCCTGCCGTCTGCCTCACTTACCCCAGAGGTCAGGCTCTCTCTCCTCGCCTGCTTTCCATGTGGTTTCCTCCGTCGCATGTTTGCACGACCTCCTGAGCTCCCCAAGGACAGAGCCCACCCTGACGTCCGGCCGCAGGCGGCGGGAGGCCTCGCCCCTCTCCTGCGTGGGTGCTGCATGGCCGCTCTCCTGGGCGCTGAGCAGAGCCTGGGCCCGGCGCCCGACTTCGCTGGGCTGATGCGTTCCCTCCGGCCGCTGTGGAATGGCTTTGTCTGAGTTCTGGGCTGATGGTGTCTGTGCCGCCAGGAGGGAGAGCCGTGGTGGGTGCTGGCTGGTGCCCCCAGGAGGGCAGGGCAGTGAGCGGGCGGGAGAAGCACAGGCCCCGCCGGCTGGCCGAGCGGCTCAGCCACGGCCCGGCGCTGGTGTCCACGGCTGCCGCCTCCCTTCAGCTGGAGACCCGGCGCCTGCTTGGGGGCTGCTGTGCCTTGTCCCCCGGGCCTCCCCCGGTGGACTGTGCTGACGGAGCGGGTGCAGTGCCCGCTGACCACGCCACCCTCGGTGTGGACATCGGCGCCCCAGGCAGTGGCCTGAGGAGTGGAGTGAGCAAGTCAGCCTCTCGGCTCCCCGCCTCCCGCCTCTTCACCGTCTGCCCTGCGGGGACTCCGCCATTTGGGACATGATTCCCATACGAAGTCGTCCCTGTGGAGCAGGCTGGGCCTAGAGGTGATGTTAAGGCCTGAGCACATCCCCGTGTTTGTGGGGAAATACGGGGAGCGGCCCAGACCCCCGAAGCCTGGGCTCGTGGGGCAGACACACACAACACACGGTGCTTCAGAGACTCCGGACACCCGGAGCTGAAAACCGCGAGCACAGGCTCCCCTTGCCTGACCCCCGCCACATTCTCCGAGTTCGAGGACACGGCCCAGCAGTGCCCGCCTGCCCTCCGGCGGCCAGTTCCCCGGCTCTCGGGGCAGGTGAAGTGGTTAAAACCCTGACAACAAGCAGGTAGATGGAGGCCGGCACAGCACTGGCTCTCCGGGGGAGCGGGCGCAGGGCAAGCCCCGGGCCGGTCAGGCCTTTCTGTGAACGTGGGTGGTGGACGCGGCTGTGAAATGTGCCAGGGCGCCTTCCAGCGGGGAGGCCGGGAGCCGTCCTGCTGCTCCATGGCCAAGGGTCTGCAGGACACAGAGGCCGTCCTGCGGGCCGCCTCACTAGGGGTTGCAGGGTAAGCAACGGGAGACGTGTTAGTGCCCTCTAGAACGTTCTTCAAATTCACCTGAGAATATTCTCCTGTGCATTTATTTTCTTCTTAAATGTACTTTCCCCCTAAGACAGAGTCCCAGTGTTGGAGGGCTCTGCGTAACGGAATCAGTCACCAGCCATCCCTCCTGCTGGCTCAGAGCTCCGTGGTGTTTTCGGGCATGTGGCCTCTAGGCTGTCACACCAAGTTCACGGGCACCTGGGCCTGTCCCGGATTAGCCTGCGGACATGTCTGGGTATCTGGCTACCACGGGAGAGCTCCCTCAGTGCCGGCGGGGCCCTCCCACCGGAGTTGGGAACCCCCTCCCCCCTGACGTGCTTCAGCCATGGCCCCGATGTCTGGGCCCGGCTGGCCGTCTCTGGTCCCGTGGCCCCTGCCATGCGCTCACCGTGTGCTGTGTGATTCCAGGGAATACTACATCACCATGGTGAAGTGGGCCACCAACACCAAGGTCGCCGTGAACTGGCTGAGCCGGGCGCAGAACGTGTCCATCCTCACCCTCTGCGACGCCACCACGGGCGTCTGCACCAAGGTACACTGGGCAGGGGCCGCGCCTCAGCAGGCCACGGGGGCCCTTTGGGCCGGGTCCCTGCAGGCAAACCGCTCAGCTGCTTATTGTCAAGGTGGCCACCTGCATCCAAGTCTCTGCATCGGTGCCACCTGGTGGGTGGCTGCAGTACTGCCGACACCCAGGCTGGCTCTTTCAGTGTCTGCAGCTGATGCACTTCCTTTGGCCTTGAATTTTCATTTCCCAACTGCAGAGGGACACAGCACTGCCTAAGTGAGGCGCGGGGGTCTGTGCTGAGACTGAGTCCCTCCCTACCCTCTCCTTCCCTCCTCCCCCCCCGCCCCCCCCTGCCAGGCCGGGGTTACCTGGGTTGGCACATCACTGTGAGCAGATCCAGGTTATTCTGGTGGGCTCGCTGAGGGGAAGGAAGGGAGGGAGGGAGGGAGGGAGGGAGGGAGGGAGGGAGGGAGGGAGGAGAACACCCAGCCAGGAAGCTGGGATTGCTCCTAATTCTACCTGTGCCCCCGGGAGTGTCCACACCGAAGCTCCATGGCCACCAGCAGCCCCGGGCGCCCGGAGGCCGGGCAGCACCAGGGCGGTTCACAGTTTGGGGATGTGTTTGGCCTGCGGTTAGGATCACCCCACGCATTCTGTAGCCTACGTCCCATTTACTCTTTAAGCCCTCTTAGTGTCTCCGTGCCAGGGCTGTCCTCAGAGCTGATGTGTCCCATGACGTCTGGGTGCAGGCACAAACTCCTGAAGCAGGCAGCACATGCCGGGTCAGGGGTGACCGTTAACGGGGACACGCCTGGTTAGGGGTGAGCACCCAGCGGAAAGTGTCCCCTCTTCCAGAGGACTCCTACCTGTATGGAGTTGTCCTCAGAGCTGGGAGACTGACATTTCTTATTTGGGGCACTGGGTTTTGGCTCTGAGCCACACTATGAGACCGCCTCACCCAAGTGTGGCCTGGTCCTGAGCAAGGCCTGGTCCTGAGCATGGCCTGGTCCTGAGCCGTGGCCTGGTCCTAAGCATGGCCTGGTCCTGAGCATGGCCTGGTCCTGAGCATGGCCTGGTCCTGAGCATGGCCTGGTCCTGAGCGTGGCCTGGTCCTGAGCATGGCCTGGTCCTAAGCATGGCCTGGTCCTGAGCCGTGACTTGGTCCTGAGCCGTGGCCTGGTCCTGAGCCGTGGCCTGGTCCTGAGCCGTGGCCTGGTGTGGCCCGGTGCTGTCTTGCCAAGGCAGCCCCGGCACAGGGGAAGCAAACTGCTTCTCTCTGCGGTCATGGACGTTGCAGTGGCCCCGAGGCCTTTCTCTGATGCTCTCATTTCGTTTCAGAAACACGAGGATGAAAGTGAAGCCTGGCTCCACAGACAGGTAACTATCCCACGAGTGAGTCCCACCAGGACCCCAGGGAGCCCAAGCAGGTGCTAGGCATGCGTGGCCTGGGGAGTGCGGCCGCCTGCCCGCCTGCTCCCTCATGGCCCTCGCTCTCCTGGAACGGGCTCCGAGGAGGATGCCTGAGAGCCGCTGCTGTTGGCAGCCTACAGTGTTTGGTGAGACGGAAGGTCTCAGGGACAGGATGCCCTTTGGGTGAATTAAAAATGGTGGATCCACAAAGAAGAAAATGAAACACGGGCCATAGTTCTGTTTTCTGCACGTGGTTCCGTGGTCTCACTGCAGCGGATGCCGCTGGGGTTCAGCACGAGCCTCCTGGGGACGAACGTCAGCCCCCCTCCGGCTTCCCCGCCCCTGCCCCTCCCAGGGCTCTGGGCGCTGGAGATCACGGAGGCAGGGAGGCCCAGACGCTCACTCCACAACAAGAATAGCCTGTATAATAAAAGGCTAGTATGCACATCGGCCAAGCGGCGGACCACCAGTCCCCATGATGCCCACTGACCACCAGGGAGCACATGCGCATGCAGGAGCTGCCCCCTGGTGGTCAGTGTGCTCCCGCAGGGGGAGCGTCGCTCATGCAGAAGGGGGCTCACGGCCAGCGAGCGCAGTGGCAGTGGTGGGAGCCTGTCCCGCCTGTGCAGCAGCATTAAGGACATTCCACTGACAGCTTAGGCCCACTCTCCTTGGATGTCGTCAGTAGGACATCCCCCAAGGGCTCCCAGATGGCAGGAGGGACTGGGCTGAGGGACCACCCCCCTCCAGTGCATGAATTTTGTGCACCAGGCCTCTAGTGTGTGTGTGTGTGTGTGTGTGTGTGTGTGTGTGTGTGTGTATTAAACTTACACAAAAAAGAGAACCTGAAACATCAGTATATTCTGCTTTATTTTTCTCCTTTCACACCTGGCGTTAGGAAGGACAGGGGGCGCTGTGGGGGTTACTTGCCTCTTACCCTGCCGAGCGGGAGGAAGACTGGAAATTCTGGGGGAAGCTCACGCCAGATCCCAGTCTGAAATGTGGTCCAGGAGCTCCTTTGTCGTGTGTGTGTGGGAAGGGGGGTGGAGGCTGAGCAGCATCCCAGCCCACATGGCTCCACACACATTCCCGCAGGGCCCACTCTGCCCTCCTTTGTCTGTGGGCCTGCGATCCCCCAGCTTCCCGTCTATTGTCCCAGGTGGTGCCTCAGACATGACACTGTTGCCTTTAAATGTGTCCATGTCTGTTCCCTGCCATCGTTTCCAAAAGCGAATGGCCACGATGGCCACGGTGGTTTTCCTACGAACAAGTTTGAGTGCCATGTCCACGACTGGAACAAATGCAGCACAAGAGAGAGGGGAGCCTGGTATCACCATGGCGCTGGCTGGGCTGGGGCTGGGCTGGGCTGGGCTGGGGCTGGGCTCTGGCTGGGCTGGGGCTGGGCTGGGCTGGGCTGGGCTGGGCTGGGCTGGGCTGGGCTGGGCTGGGCTGGGGCTGGGCTCTGGCTGGGCTGGGGCTGGGCTGGGCTGGGCTGGGCTGGGACCACCGTGTGAGCACACCTGGACCACCGTGTGAGTAGAGACCACGGTAACGTCACGGCATTTCTCCTCCATCAGCCAACGCCAGGGGAGAAAGGAAGGCCAGAAAACCACTGTCTGTCCGGTTGTGTGTCCAGCTACTATTTATGCGTCGGGGGCACGTGCGGGCGCTGTGGGTTTCAGAGACGTCGGCCCCTTCGCTGAGCGCGGCCTGTGTGACCACCCCCTGGCTCCGCTCTGGTGGGCTTTGGGTTGTTCCGGTTCCGTGAGCATCGTGCTGAGCGGGAGAGAGCAGCCAGGCACGAGGACCCTGTGGCCCACGCCGGTGACATGGCCAGAACAGGGGGTTTCAGGAACAGAAAAGGGCTCAGGATTGTCTGGGAGGCTGTGAAGGGCTGGGCCCGCACTGCGTGGCGGCTTTGATGTGGGGACGGGAGCGCTTTGGGACTAGAACGGACAGCGCTGTGAGGCACTAAATGCTGCCTGGTTCACCTTTCCTGCCTCCCGCATGCTCCCTAGTGGGAACCAAGCCCACAACCCGGGCATGTGCCCTGACTGACCAGAACCGAACCAGCGACCTCCTGGACCATGGGACGACAATGCCCAGCCAACTGAGCCACACCAGCTGGCCGCTCGGTTCCCTTTTTTCAGTTTTATTTTGTGGATTTCATCTCAGCTTTTTAAAAGATGAGCCAGCTGGAGCCTCAGCTCCAGCACATCCAGCAGAGGGCAGTGAGAGCAGCGGTGCCCTCAGAGGGGCCGGGGTCACCATAAATATGCCGGAGAGCTTAGGTGTGACCCGGTGCAGTGTGGGGACCAGCCCCGTGGCTGCAGTCTGTGTCCGAACAGGAGGAGGCGAGGGCGATACGTCTGCCCTTTTCTGCTCCAGGCAGCGGGCTGTGGGCGTCGGTCCCAGGTGCCCCGCTTCCCATCCCAGCACCCCCACAGGCGGAGCACCCCACGGCAGGTGACCTTCCCAGAGGCCAGGGAGCTGCCCCTCCGCTCACCCATCCTCAGCTCTGCAGGGACCCAGGCACTCAGCCTGTGGTACAGACTCTCCGCCGGGCTGCTCACCCAGTGGGAGACAGCCCAGCACCCAGCAGGCAGCCTGGACGTGACCTGAGAAGCCAGAGCTTCCCACACAGATCACACCAGCACTCGGGAAGGAGCGTGAGATGTAACCAGCTTTTATGGTGTGAACGTGAAAGCACATGCTTTTATGGAGCAAACCGTGAGACTTTATCCAGGCGGGGGGCGTCTACATCCCTCCAGGCCAGGCGGGCACCTCCATCCGGCCGGGCCAGGCGGGCGCCTCCATCCGGCCGGGCCAGGCGGGCGCCTCCATCCGGCCGGGCCAGGCGGGCGCCTCCATCTGGCCGGGCCAGGCGGGCGCCTCCATCCGGCCGGGCCAGGCGGTGGCCGGGCGTCAGAGTGGAGACGCAGGGGCTGGGAGGCGGTGTTCCCTCCGAGCGAGCCGGCCCCTCACACAGCTCCAGGTCGGTGAACAGATCAGTGCCAACCACGCGTCCTGACCTCCCTTCCGGAGGCAGCTGACGACGATGCGCATCCCCGCGGCCTAGAAGGCAAGTGAGGAACGCCTGCGGCTGGACCTGCCGCCTGTCTGCGGCCATCACAAAGGCGTTCACACACACACACACACACACCCCCGCCCGCTGGCCCAGGCACAGGGACATCTAAGGAGAGGACTGGAGTCTGGCACCTCGTGGCAACCTCCCAGACCCGGGTCTGCTCAGTTAACTGTCTGCTAGATACCCGTTGCCAGGGCAACAAGGTGAGCTAGGGCACCTGGCGTCCATCGGACCCTCCCCTCCTCGCCTGTCCTCCCATCTCCCCCTGAGGCAGTGCCCCATGGAGCTTCCCCGAGCCAACAAGCAGAGGCAAATGTGTGCTCCATCCCATGGCTTCTGTGGGAATATTCCGGAGGAAGAGGCAGCCCCTCTCCCCCACACTCACCTGTCACCGCTGTCCGTGACCTTCAGAGCGCCCGGAGGCACACTCCCCAGCAGCCCTGCCCCAGGCCATCGCCTTCGACCACAGTCCGTCCTGGAGGCCCATCTCTGACCCTCTTTCTTCACCGGGGTCTCGGTTTTGCGATTTCACGTTTGGCCAAGACGCGTGGAGCTGAACCGTGGGGAGAACTGGCAGAGAGGCCACCAGCACCTCCCGCAGGCTCAGCTCTGCATAGATCTGCTCTGAACAGGGCCGGCCGGGCATCACGTGATGAACTCCGTGGCTCAGGGACCAGGGATGCTCCCGAAGCCCAGGGGTCAGAGCCGGGTGCCACGGCCCTCCCCGCCCACCGCGGAATGTTCCGTGATCCACATATGATGACATCCCTGATCGACGCCTTCTCAGAGTACAAACAGCACTTCGGCCCAGAATTAACTCTTCGTTCCTCTTATCCCCGGTGTTTTCCCTGCGAGCGTGCCCATCCTTCCCGTGTTGTCCTGCACGCCACTCAGGCTGGAAAGCCTGTGTGAGTGTTGGAACTGCACTGTCACCGTAGCCGGGAGCAGAGCCTCTGCGCGTTGAGCTGGTGCTCCGGAGAACGGGGGGTCACAGCCTGTTTTATAAGTTCCCGTCGGAGGGGAACATGAAATCCACTGGCCATAGATCGGGGAGGTGGGAGAGAGCAAGGCGGGGACCTCCGGGACAGGGTGAAGGGAATGATGGACACATGCCTCTTACGCAGGTGGTGCGGGATAGTTAGCACGGAGCAGCCGGCCGTTAGCTTGGTAACCGTCACCGAGAGGACTGTCCCGGTGCCAGTGGTGTGCCCCGCGGGGTTACCCAGACACCTCACAGATGTGTTGTTTTAGAGGCAGAAAGGCAATGGGCTCAGGAAAGATCCAAGTTGAACTTTGTCAGGGAAAATCCTGGCCTGGGCCATGACTGCCCACTGTAGCCGTTTGCAGTTAAAGTTTAATTTTTAGAGCTTTCTTTGTGGTGACTGTAGGTCTCCAGGTTTGCACAACCACCACGCAGGCCTCCCCTGAGCCTGTCAGGTCAGCATGTGGTCCCTCCGTCCACACCCAGCAGCACCGGCACCGCTGGGGTTTCCAGCCGGCCCTCGGCAAACAGAGTCCGTGCGAAAAGCCCGAGTGCCGGCCAGTTTTCTCACTTGTAAATGCCACGCTCCCACCTCTAAATGAGAAAATAAATGTTTGCAGGTTAAAGGTTTCATTTCATAGCAAAGGTTCCTGGAGATTAAATGTCATTTTAATCGCTTGTTAGCTTATTTCTCTGGCACCCGGATTTGCACGGGTTTGTTCGAGGCAGGGAGCTGAGCCTGCCCGCCAGCTGGGGCCCCACCCGGTTCACGCTCATCCCCGCGCGAGGGGGACCCCTTGGGTCAGAAAATGTGCGTGACGTCCAGCTGGTTGGTGTTCATTGTGGAAACTTTGCAACTGGAGCTCCCAAGAGCTGAGATGGTGTTATACCAAAATCCCTTTGCCATCACGGTGACAGCCACCCACAGGGGCTGGTGGGGGCTGAGCAGTGCTGCTAGCTTTGGGGGACGGGGTGGAGACCTGGCAGCTGGCTGTGAATCTAGCCGGGAATTCCCTCCCAGGACAACTGAGAATGTCCCTGACCCTGCTTTTGTTTCTCATCAGCTTCCCGCCATTAGAAGCCATGCTGCAGCACACCGAGCACGTGGTGGTGGTTTCCTCCCACAACTTTCTAGAACGGGTACTAGGATGGACACAGTGCTCCCGGGGCGGGCACGGTGCTCCCGGGATGAAACCGGTGCTCCCGGGGCGGGCTCGGTGCTCCCGGGATGAACCCGGTGCTCCCGGGGCGAGCACAGTGCTCCCGGGATGTACCCGATGCTCCCGGGGCGGGCTCGGTGCTCCCGGGATGAACCCCGTGCTCCCGGGGCGAGCACAGTGCTCCCGGGATGTACCCGATGCTCCCGGGGCGGGCACGGTGCTCCCGGGATGTACCCGGTGCTCCCGGGGCGGGCACAGTGCTCCCGGGATGTGCCCGGTGCTCCCGGGGTGGGCACAGTGCTCCCGGGATGAACCCGGTGCTCCCGGGGCGGGCACAGTGCTCCCGGGATGAAACCAGTGCTCCAGGGGCGGGCACAGTGCTCCCGGGATGAAACCGGTGCTCCCGGGGCGGGCTCGGTGCTCCCGAGGTGGGCACAGTGCTCCCGGGATGTACCCGGTGCTCCCGGGGCGGGCGCGGTGCTCCCGGGGTGGGCATAGTGCTCCCGGGATGAACCCGGTGCTCCCGGGGCGGGCGCGGTGCTCCCGGGGTGGGCACAGTGCTCCCAGGATAAACCGGGTGCTCCCGGGGTGGGCACAGTGCTCCCGTGATGTACCCGGTGCTCCCGGGGCGGGCACGGTGCTCCGGGGGCAGGTACAATGTGTACTTGTGTGCTATTTCTTGTTTCTTGGTCAGCTATTCTGTGTAAACTGGATTTGATAAAATAAAAAAATAGAAAACAACAGGGAGAAAATAGGGTTCATTTTCAGGCAGAATCAGGTGTGGGGGTGCTCTAAGCTCCTTAGGAGAGGTCATTGATGGCCCCAGAGGAATTCTGCAGAATGCCCCGGTTCCAGGCCTCATAGGCGGACCCCCGGCCCGGCGGCCTGAGGGCCGGCCCCAGCCCCCCGCCGTGTGTGGGGCACTTGGCACGTCCCCTCTGACTCCCCACATCCGGCCGTCTTAGGGAACAGCAGGCCGCACAGCGTCCGTGCTTGCACATGGACTAGGGGTTGGTAGCGAAGGCCCTCGGTGTGCCGGCCAGGGCCCCGGCTCGGCCTCTGGGGAGCAAGAGCCGTGGCCGGCACTCACGGGGTCGCTGTCACCCACAGAATGAGGAGCCGCTGTTCTCCAGGGACGGACGGAAGTTCTTCTTCGTCAGAGCCATCCCGCAGGGCGGGCAGGGCAAGTTCTACCACATCACCGTGTCCTCCTCCCAGGCAAGTCCCAGTCCCTGCCTTCTCCTCCTCCTCCTCTTCCTCCCTCCTTCCTCCTCCTCCCTCCCTCCGCCTCCCACCTCCCTTTCTCCTTCCTTCCTTCTCTTCCTCCTCCCTCCTCCCTCCTCCATTCCTTCCCTCCTTCCTTCCCTCCTCTATCTCCACCTTTCCCACCCACTTGCCCATATTTCTCTCTTCCCTCTCCATCCACCAGTAAGGCACCAGAGTTAAACAGTACCAGCAGCACAGGGAGCTCTGATTCTTCTCTTGCGACGAGACGCGCCGGGTGGGAGGGCGCCGTGGTCAGCACCCAGCAGGACGCACGGACGCCCGAGGGAAGGGTGTGGGCGGGTGGCCACTCCCAGGACAGACAGGTGTGGGGACTCCCCGCTCCTGGCACCTGAGGGGCCGGGACCCGGAGGGAAGCGGGTGGGGCCGCGCCCTCCTCACAGCCGGTCTGTGCAGCCCAACAGCAGCAGCGACAACATCCACTCCATCACGTCGGGGGACTGGGACGTGACCAAGATCCTGGCCTACGACGAGAAGCGGAGCAAGATGTGAGTGCGCGGCGCCCTGGGCTGGGGGTGGAGGGGGGGGCGCAGGGATGGCCTTCCTCCGGGGGTCCCACACCTGCCCGGGATACCCACCCGCCCGGGGTACCCACACCTGCCCGGGGTGCCCACCTGCCCGGGGTACCCACCTGCCCGGGGTCCCACACCTGCCCGGGGTACCCACCTGCCCGGGGTCCCGCACCTGCCCGGGGTACCCACCTGCCTGGGGTCCCGCACCTGCCCGGGGTACCCACCTGCCCGGGGTACCCACCTGCCCGGGGTATCCAAACCTGCCCGGGGTACCCACCCGCCCGGGGTACCCACACCTGCCCGGGGTCCCACACCTGCCCGGGGTGCCCACCTGCCCGGGGTACCCATCTGCCCGGGGTCCCACACCTGCCCGGGGTACCCACCTGCCCGGGGTACCCACCTGCCCGGGGGTCCCACACCTGCCCGGGGGTCCCGCACCTGCTCAGGGATCCCACACCTGCCCCGGGGATCCGCACCTGCCCGGGGTCCTGCACCTGCCCGGGGGTATGCACCTGCCCCAGGGTCCCACACCTGCCCGGGGATCCCTGCTCCTGCCCGGGGATATGCACCTGCCCATAGGCTCTGGTGTGGGGGCCAGGGTGGCGGTCATGTGCCCCTGGGTTTGGATGTGGAATCTCTTTACAGGATATAACCTCCTGCAGGGCCAGGGCCCAGACAGAACCCGGGCAGGTGCGTACCCCCGGCAGGTGCATACCCCCGGGCAGGTGCGGGACCCCCGGGCAGGTGTGGGACCCCTGGGCAGGTGCGGATCCCCGGGCAGGTGCGGGACCCCGGGCAGGTCTGGGACCCCTGGGCAGGTGCGGGACCCCCGGGCAGGTGCGGGACCCTGGGCAGGTGTGGGACCTCCAGGCAGGTGCGGATCCCCGGGCAGGTGCGTACCCAAGGGCAGGTGCGGGACCCCCGGGCAGGTGCGGGATCCCCAGGCAGGTGCGTACCCAAGGGCAGGTGCGGATCCCCGGGCAGGTGCGGGATTCCCGGGCAGGTGTGGGATCCCCGGGCAGGTGTGGGACCCCGGGCAGGTCTGGGACCCCCGGGCAGGTGTGGGACCCCCGGGCAGGTGCGGATCCCCGGGCAGGTCTGGGACCCCGGGCAGGTCTGGGACCCCGGGCAGGTCTGGGACCCCCGGGCAGGTGCGGGACCCCTGGGCAGGTGCGGATCCCCGGGCGGGTGTGGGATCCCCGGGCAGGTGCGGGACCCCCGGGCAGGTGTGGGACCTCCCATCAGCAGAGGCTTAGTCCCTCCGGAAATGTAGCTGGGCGCAGTGCTGCTGAAGCCACAGAATGGGGGTTCCTGAGCAGGGTCTGCACCGGGTGGGGGGTTGGCTGTGGGGCCACAGCTTCCCTGGAGCCACTAACTCCTGTCACCTGCCTCTCCACAGCTACTTCCTGAGCACCGAGGACCTGCCCCGGAGACGCCACCTCTACAGGTACGGGGGCCTCACCTCTACAGGTACGGGGGCCCTCACCCCTACAGGTACGGGGGCCCTCACCTCTACAGGTATGGGGCCCTCACCCCTACAGGTATGGGGGCCCTCACCCCTACAGGTACGGGGGCCCTCACCCCTACAGGTACGGGGCCCTCACCTCTATAGGTACGGGGGCCTCACCTCTACAGGTACGGGGGCCCTCACCCCTACAGGTACGGGGCCCTCACCTCTACAGGTATGGAGCCCTCACCCCTACAGGTACGGGGGCCTCACCCCTACAGGTATGGGGCCCTCACCCCTACAAGTATGGGGCCCTCACCCCCTACAACTCTATAGGTACGGGGGCCCTCACCCCTACAGGTATGGGGCCCTCACCTCTATAGGTACGGGGGCCCTCACCCCTACAGGTACGGGGGCCTCACCTCTATAGGTACGGGGGCCTCACCTCTATAGGTACGGGGGCCCTCACCTCTACAGGTATGGGGGCCTCCGGGCAGGGCTCTCTGGGGGGAATCAGGAGACATGCTCAGCCACCCAATAGGACGACGCTTTGCTATATTTCCACTTTTGTCCAGTTGAGTCCCCTTCTGTGCCTTCTCCCCATGAGACCTGGGGGCCTCGGGGTGGGGGACGGGCCCTCAGGGGCAGGGCTTGGACAGGCTCTGGGATTGGAGACCACAGGGGATCAGCGACCCCTCCATGACCAGACGCTGCACCGGCATTGCCGGGGGTCGGGGCCAGCGTGAGGGACCGGGACCACACCACAGAGCCGTGCCGGCGGCCGACCAGGGACCAGGAGGGCGGGGCCACAGGCTCCTGTGCGGGTGGGAGCTGGACCTCTGGCGGCTCCGCTCCTGGGCTCACGCCGCCTCCCCCTCCAGCGCCAGCACGGTGGGCACCTTCAACCGGCAGTGCCTGTCCTGCGACCTCGTAGGCAACTGCACCTACTTCAGCGCATCCTTCAGCCACAGCGCCGACTTCTTCCTGCTCACGTGCGAAGGTGAGTCCCGCCTCCCGCCCTCCGCCCCTGGTGCGGGCCCCTGTGTCTCCGCCCCTGTATCCCTGCCCCTGTGTCCCCGCCCCTGTATCCCCGCCCCTGTGTCCCCGCCCCTGTGTCCCCGCCCCTGTGTCCTCGCCCCTGTGTCTGGCCCCTGTGTCCCCGCCCCTGTGTCCAATCCCCCATGTCCCGGCCCCCGTGTCCCAGCCCCTGTGATCCCGCCCCTGTGACCGGCCCCTGTGTCCGGGCCCCTGTGTCCCCGCCCCTGTATCCCCGCCCCTGTGTCCCCGCCCCTGTGTCCGGCCCCTGTGTCTCCGCCCCTGTGTCCTGCCCCTGTGTCCGGCCCCTGTGTCCCCGCCCCTGTGTCCGGCCCCTGTGTCCCTGCCCCTGTGTCCGGCCCCTGAGTCCCCACCCCTGTGTCTCCTCCCTGTGTCTCCGCCCCTGTGTCCGGCCCCTGTGTCTCCGCCCCTGTGTCCCCGCCCCTGTGTCTCCACCCCTGTGTCTCCGCCCCTGTGTCCGGCCCCTGTGTCTCCGCCCCTGTGTCCGGCCCCTGTGTCCCCGCCCCTGTGTCCGGCCCCTGTGTCCCCGCCCCTGTGTCCGGCCCCTGTGTCCCCGCCCCTGTGTCCGGCCCAGGGGCCCGGTGCCTGGGCGGGGAGGTGGGCGAAGGAGCTTATCCCTCGGTGGAGCCGCAGCTCAGTCTGCACCACAGGGAGAGTTCACACGGATAGGTCCCCGGCGGGCATAGCCGTGCTGTCAGCTCTGCCTGCATCGTCCATAAAAAGTAAATGCGCTGTGAGCACTGGGCTAGGCCTGCAGGCCGGGCCTGGGAGGTGAACTGAAGGAGTGAGGCAGAGAAGTCTCGGGGGAATGAATATTCTGTGCCCCCATTCACGGGTCATTCACCCCGAACTTCAGAAAGAACAGCAACTTCCTGAAAGACATGAGCGAGGCCTGGTTAGGCTGTCGCCCCAAGGTGCCAGGGCTCAGCTGGTGAGTCTGTGGCCCCAGCGTGCCAGGCTGTGGCTGAGCACCCAGCGGGCACTCAGAGGGATGGACCAGCACGGGCATCAGTAAGCGGACAGCACATCAGTGACTCTCAAAGCCCGTCAACAGAAAGGTTTAGAAGGCGTAAACCCACGCCTGGGTGGTGGCTGGGGTGGCTGAGCATCATCCATGCACCAAACGTTTCAGATCCAGTCCCAGTTGGAATGCGTGCAGGAGGCAACCAATCCATAGTTCCCTCTCACTTCGGTGTTTCTCCCGTCTTCCTCTCTCTCTAAAAATCAACAAACACATACTTGACTGAGGAGTAGAAAAAGAAGACAAACCTCACAAAGAGAACAAGAGGGATGCGGTGCCCCTGCATTTCGGATGTCTGATACAGACTCACAGCCTGATTCACAGACCGCGTCCTCCACCCTCACTGCAAACGGCAGCAATGCAATGGCCGGGCTTAAAGAAAGTGCGTGCCTGGCTGCTTCTCTGACTGCAAAGAGCTCCCTGGCCGCCGCCGCCGCTGTAGGCAGGGGAGACAGCAGTCAGTGTGGAAGGGAGCCCGTGGCCAGTGGGGCCGGGCCGGCGAGCTCCGTGCCCGGCGTGCAGGGACCCGCCTAACGCGCCATCCTCCCCTGAAACCGGGCGTGACGGCAGCGTCTCCCAGGCCGCGGTGAGGGCTCACCCGGGCCCCGACACCAGCCCGAACAGCTGGTGACGCGCGGGGACAGAGCGGTCAGGGCGGCCGGGTCAGGGAGCCCGTCTCCGCCCGCCAGCAGACTCCGCGCCCACCGGCTGCGGCTGAGGTGCCACCTCTGTGGTCCCCTCAGCTCCTCCTGCCTCGGCTTCCCAACGGCACTGGCACCCCTGCTTCTCCCGGGCGGTGCTGGGAGCTGGGTCTGCTTACCCCGCAGGGTAGAACGTTCCAGAAGTGACCAGTCACAGAACACTCAACCGGCCGTGGCCTGCGTGACAATGAGGTGCCCACAGGCAGGCTCGTGCCCGGGGCCTCTGAGGCCCTTCCTCCGGAGTTAGGGAGTCAGGACAGCCCCCGCTTCCTGTCCATCTCCCTTTGCCTTTACCCCTCGGAGGCCGCCTCCTTGGGGCCGGAGCCGGGCAGTGCTCGGTGAGGTTATGGCCCTCCTGGAGCTCCGGCACTGGGGCGATGGGGTGGCAGGCCGGTGGGGGCGCTGCGGCAGCCTGTGGGCTGAGAGAACGGACCATTCGGGGAGGGCAGGGGGCAGGGGCAGGGGGAGCTCCGGTGCTGGGCCTGAAGAAGGCAGCCGTGGACGGCGCCCAGGCCCCTCTGCCCCAGATGCCCCCTGGGCACTCCCAGGCTACACCCGACAGCGAAGTGGCGGCAGGGGGACCTGGCGCCATAGTGCTGTCACGTGACCGTTTCCCAGAGTGCCCCAGGGCCAGGGAGGGGAGACTCGGGGACTCGGGCCCTCTGGTTCCCGGAGCCCCAAAGCCAGCACAGGGCTGTCCGGCAGGGCTGTCTGACGAAGAAATGAGCCTCTAGACGCAAAGGGGGCTTTGTTAGTGATGGGGACAGTGACCCTCAGTTCTTTATGGGGTCACGTGGCTGACAGGCACAGGTCGTTCCACTGCCCTCCCTGGCTCCCCAGGCCCCCTGCCCCCGGCCTCCTGCCCGTGGCCCCCTGCCCCAGGCCCCCTGCCCCCAGCCCCCTGACCCTGGCCTCCTACCCCTGGCCCCCTGCCCCCGGCCCCCTGCCCCAGGCCCCCTGCCCCAGGCCCCCTGACCCCAGCCCCCTGCCCCCGGCCTCCTGCCCCTGGCCCCCTGCCCCAGGCCCCCTGACCCCAGCCCCCTGCCCCCGGCCTCCTGCCCCTGGCCTCCTACCCCTGGCCCCCTGCCCCAGGCCCCCTGACCCCAGCCCCCTGCCCCTGGCCTCCTACCCCTGGCCCCCGGCCCCCTGCCCCCGGCCCCCTGCCCCCGGCCCCCTGACCCCAGCCCCCTGCCCCCGGCCCCCTGCCCCAGGCCCCCTGACCCCAGCCCCCTGCCCCCGGCCTCCTGCCCCCAGCCCCCTGCCCCCGGCCCCCTGTCCCAGGCCCCCTGACCCCAGCACCCTGCCCCCGGCCTCCTGCCCCCAGCCCCCTGCCCCCGGCCCCCTGCCCCCAGCCTCCTGCCCCAGGCCCCCTGCCCCCGGCCCCCTGCCCCCGGCCCCCTGCCCCTGGCCCCCTGCCCTAGGCCCCCTGCCCCCGGCCCCCTGCCCCCGGCCCCCTGCCCCAGGCCTCCAGCCCCCGGTCCCCCGCCCCTGGCCCCCTGCCCCAGGACCCTCACCCCAGGCCCGATTCTCCTTTGTTCTCACATCAACTAACAGTGTTTCTGTTTCTCTCACATCAACTAACAGTGTTTCTGTTTCTCTCCTGGCTTCTCTTCTCCTGAGGCAGGTCCTGGTGTCCCCATGGTGACTGTGCACAACACCACAGACAGGAAAAGTAAGTCCTTCCCTTTCCTCACGTCTCCCCGCGGGGCGGTGGGAGGGAGCAGCCGCCTCCCCAGATAAACCAGGGGTGTCCTACTCGGAGCCAGAGATGGCGGGCCCTCACTGTTCCCAATGCCCCCATCACCAGGATCACTAAGTGTGTGGGAAGGCTGGGAGGCCTCACACCCCACCCCACACGCCCTACACCACACACCCCACATCCCACCCCCCTCCCCCCACCCCACCCGTCACCCCACCCCACCCCTCACCCCACACACCACCCCTCACCCCACACACCACCTCACCCCTCACCCCACACCACCCCTCACCCCTCACCCCACACACCACCTCACCCCACACACCACCTCACCCCTCACCCCACACCACCCCTCACCCCTCACCCCACACCACCCCTCACCCCTCACCCCACACCACCCCTCACCCCACCCCACCCCTCACCCCACCCCACCCCTCACCCCCCCCCCACCCCTCACCCCTCACCCCCCCCCCCCTCACCCCACACCACCCCTCACCCCCTCCCCCACCCCACCCCTCACCCCACACCACCCCTCACCCCTCACCCCACACCACCCCTCACCCCACACACCACCCCTCCCCCCACACCACCCCTCACCCCTCACCCCACCCCACCCCTCACCCCACCCCACCCCTCACCCCTCACCCCACACCACCCCTCACCCCTCACCCCACCCCACCCCTCACCCCACCCCACCCCTCACCCCACACACCACCTCACCCCTCACCCCACACCACCCCTCACCCCTCACCCCACACCATCCCTCACCCCTCACCCCACACCACCCCTCACCCCTCACCCCACCCCACCCCACACACCACCCCTCTCCCCACACACCACCTCACCCCTCACCCCACCCCACCCCTCACCCCACACCCCACACCCTACACCACACACCCCACCCCACACCAACCCCCGTAACCCTCACCCCACACCCTACACCACCCACTCCACACCATGCACCCCACGCATGCCAGGCCATGCAGTGCCTCATGCCAGCCTCTGAGCTCCCGCCTGCTCCGCCGGCCCTCGGTGGGCTCCCTGGAGGCGGTGGCACCTGGGCTGCCCTGTCCTGGAGGGGGTGTCTTCCGGAGGAGGGCACGGGCAGAGGGCACGGCGGGCAGCACGGGGAGCTGTGGGGCTCCGAGCGCAGCTCACCCGGCAGAGGGACCCCGTGAGAATTTGCCACCCGCAGCCCTGGCGGTTCAGGGGGCAGCACCGCCGGGTCTGGCAGCAGCTCCGTCTGAGGCCCGAGGTGCACCCGCGCCGAGGCCTGGGGCGGACGGGAGGAAGGACGGGAGGAAGGACGGGAGGAAGGACAGGCGGAAAGCCGGGAAGACGCCCGGGGCCTCGGTGAGGCTGGGAGTAGCTGGTCCTTCTGGGCCTGAGCACCTGCACCAGGGCAGCCTCTGAGCAGGAAGGGGGAGGGGGGAGGGGGCGGGAGGGAGGAGAGGCGGGAGGGGGGTGCTGGGCGGTGCACACCTGCCGCAGAGGGGCCGGAGGCCTCGGAGCTGAGGCGGACAGAAACCTGCAGCCCCTCCCGCACTGGGCGCCAGGGCCATCAGGGAGCTGCCCAGGCCCTCAGGGGCCGAGGCCGCAGTGTGTCCTTCACTGGTTTGTTTGGTTTTTTGTGGGGTTTTTTTAGGTTTTATTCATTTCAGAGCGGGAGGAAGAGGGAGAGAGAGGGAGAGAGAAACATCCATGATGAGAGGATGCACGCCCCCCACTAGGGCCGGAACCCATAACCTGGGCCTGTGCCCCCATGGGAATCGAACTGCGACCTCCTAGGTCGATGCGCAGCCGCTGAGCCACCGGCCGGCTGTGCTTTATATGTTTTAACTCAGTTCACCCCCCATGGCTGTCGCACCCATTTTCCAGCCAAGAACACCGAGGCGGAGAGTGTGACTGATGGCTCCGGGCACGCAGCCACAGAGGGGGGGCGTCGGGAGCCCAGCCCGGGCTCCAGGCAGAGCCTGCCCTTCTCCCTGGGGTTCAGCGGGCGGAGCGGGGCCTCCCTGAGCTGGCCGAGCCCCCGCCCCCTCCCCGCCCTCAGATGCCTCCTCCCCAGCACCAGCCCACCAGGCCGGCCGGCAGGGCCTCGCCCCCACCCCACCCCGTCTGCGGAGCCCGCTGCCAGGACGGAGGTCCACTCCGGATGGACTCTGGCTGCCTCCGCGTCCGGGCCGGCGGGAAGCTGAGGGCAGGGACTGCGCCTCCCACAGCCACTCTGCTGGCCATTCAGCCATGACCCACACACCCGAGCGGCCGCCACGCCCCGTGGGCCTGGCTTCACACACGGGATCACGCGTGTGGTCATAACAGCAGTGTCCCCCAGGCCCCGTCTCCACACCCAGGGCTGGAAGCTGTATTCACCTGACCCAGACCCCCCCGCCCCCTCAGCCCTGGGACGGGGCGCTCGGCCTCACGTGGTGGCCACCTAAGTGAGGCGCTCACACCACAGCCCACAGGGCCAGACACACACCACCATGTCCCCGCACCACGCCGAGCCCTCCCCTGTGTCGGACAGGACGGGTGAGCACAGCAGGGGCCTGAGGAAGCCATCAAACAGCCCGCCGGCCTGGGCTCGGGAGAGGCCCATGCAGAGGTGACCCTGCAGACTCCGAGTGACCTCTGCAACACACAGGCACACACACCAGGCACACACACTGGGCACAGGCACACACACACACCAGGCACACGCCTGTCACATGTACACACACCAGGCACACACCTGTCACATGTACACACACACTGGGCACATGCACACACACACCAGGCACACACCGGCCACATGTATACACACACCGGCACACACCGGGCACATGTACACACACACCGGGCACATATACACACACACTGGGCACAAATGGAGCACCTGTGCACACACACCAGCATATGTACACACACACCAGGCACACACACTGGGCACAGGCACACACCTGTCACATGTACACACACCAGGCACACACCTGTCACATGTACACACACACTGGGCACATGCACACACACACCAGGCACACACCAGCCACATGTATACACACACCGGGCACACACCGGGCACATGTACACACACACCGGGCACAAATGGGGCACCTGTGCACACACACCACACATGTACACAAACACCAGGCACACACACTGGGCACAGGCACACACACACACCAGGCACACACCTGTCACATGTACACACACCAGGCACACAGCTGTCACATGTACATACACACTGGGCACATGCACACACACACCAGGCACACACCGACCACATGTATACACACACCGGGCACACACCGGGCACATGCACACACACACCAGGCACACACCGGCCACATGTATACACACACCGGGCACACACCGGGCACATGTACACACACCGAGCACATATACACACACACCGGGCACAAATGGGGCACCTGTACACACACACCAGGCACAAATGAGGCACCTGTGCACACACACCACACATGTACACACACACCAGGCACACACACTGGGAACAGGCACACACACACACCAGGCACACACCTGTCACATGTACACACACCAGGCACACACCTGTCACATGTACACACACACCAGGCACACACTGGGCACATGTACACACACACTGGGCACAAATGGGGCACCTGTGCACACACACCAGCACATGTACACACACACCAGGCACACACATGGGGCACATGCACACACACACCAGGCACACACCTGTCACATGTACACACACCAGACACACACCGGGCACATATACACACACACTGGGCACAAATGGGGCACCTGTGCACACACACCAGCACATGTACACACATGCGGGGCACATGTACACACACACCGGGCACATATACACACACTGGGTATACACATTGGGCACACACTGTGGGCACATGTACACACACACACCGGGCACATACACACACTGGGCACACACACACACACAGTCCTGCTCCGTCTTCATGCTGAGATGTGGGAGCAGAATAGGCTGCCCTCCTCCCTGTCCGTCAGTTGCTGTTGGCTTTCAAATGATTCTAGCCACTAATTTCCCAAAATTCAGCCTCGTGATCATCTCTCAGTGCCCGAACCAACGAGGTCTGGAAAAGCCTGGGGCCCGCCACATCTGCCGCTGGCACCGCTGGGCACAACCAGGGAGGCAACCTGGGGAGCAGTCTTTGTTCCTCCGCATCTGATAGCAGCTAATTCCCCCAAATGTCAGCGGCAGCTCACATTTAATTAAGGACCGGCCACGCGCTCGCTGCAGACTGGAGGTGCCCGGCCCGCCAAAGCGGAGTCCTCCGGGGCACATGCCAATCTTTTCTCATTTCCTCCGCAGAGCCCGGCCTCTGCGAATGCAATTACAGGGACAAATAGCATGGCTTAGCTCCCTCCCTGAGGGACACCGGCTCTCTGCTGATAAAGCCAGCTGTGTGGGCAGCCATTAAACGAGGAATCTAATATTTAACTAAATTTAATAGCCTGCTGCCACGGTGCCTTTCCGGGAAGGTGGGATTTCAGGGCAGGAAAAGCCACGCCAACACAGGCCATGCACCCACACTATCAGCCCACAGTGCTCCCCACGCCCACGGCTCCGGGAGGGTGCTCCCCCCACCCACAGCCCTGGGAGCGGCAGACGTGGTTTGTGGCAGGTCAGGGTTCACATGAACTCCAGGCCAGCTGGAGGGTGGCCTTCTCCTCCACGGTCAGCGTTGGAGAGGCGGGAAGTCAGCAAATTCACATGCACACGCGCAGAGAGAAGCGCGTAGTCTGAAGCTGGGGGAGCTCTATCCACGCCTCTTTTGTTGTTAGTCCTCATGAAGGCTGTTTCTCCACTGATCTGTGGAGAGAGTGGGAGGGAGGGGAGAGACGTAGAGGAAGAGAGACATCGAGGTGAGAGAGGCGCATCCATGGGTTGCCTCCCACCTGGGCCCTGACCAGGGCCGGGACCGAGCCTGCCACCGGGGTACATGCCGTTGGCCAGAATCGAACCTGGGACCCTTCAGCCCTGTCCCTGCTAACCCACTCATTGCCCCGAGTTCCCATTTATCTAGTGTGATGGCACCCAGGTCCCTTAGCTGTCACGCCGGGTCCACGCCAGGCGGAGAGGTCAGGACCACAGGGCTGGGGAGGCTGAGGCTCCGGGTGCCTTTGAAGACCCAGAGTGCCCCTTGTTCCTTCTTGTTATTAATCCTGACCTGAGGATACTTTCCTCATTGATTTTTTTTAAGAGAGAGCAGAAAGGAGGTGGGGGGAGAGAGAGAGAGAGAGAGAGAAAGAGAGAGAGAGAGAGAGAGAGAGAGGGAGAGAGAGAGAGAGAGAGAGAGAGAGAGGGAGAGGGAGAGAAACATCTATGTGAGAGAGACACATTGATTGGTTGCCTCCTACAATGCCCCAACCAGAGCAGTGATTGAATCCACAATCCAGGTACGTGCCCTTGACCAGGAATCAAACTCTTGAGTGCGTGGACCAACACTCTAACCACTGAGCAACACCGGCCATGGCACTGCCTATTCATTGTAACACAGTGTGTGCTGTTAATCTTTAAGACGTTCGTGAAGGTTTCAACATGATTTGATGAGCCCAACAGAGTCCCTTGAAGATAAAATTCCCTTTCATAATGAACCATAGACTGCCCCCTATGGAGGCTGGATGTGAGAGAAAAGAGGAAGTTGGACCTTTTTTGTTACCTGTCAGATGGTGAAATAAGGTGAAAATGCCCTTTCAGTGGGAGAGTAATGAAGTGGGTGGGTGAGGGGCATTCTTCACCCCAGAAGCAGGCACTGAGGGCATCTGTGTGCTTTACAGCCTAGGAGACAGCCTCCGCGCAGTCAGGGGCGAGGGAGGGTGAGGGCGAGGGTGAGGGTCAGGCTGACACCTGACATGCTTATTCATGCTGAGGCCCCAAAGTCCGATAACCTTATGATTCAGGTAAGAAATATGATTCAAGTTATCCTAGAAAATGCAATAAAGGTCGCATCCCTGTTCTCCCTTCCTCCCTGGGACACTGTGGCCTCTATATTTGCAGAACCATTTGTCCTAACACATACATGGCGTTGGTTTCCCCAAACCAGCAGTCTGGAAGTCAAACATCCTGAAACTGAGCGTGTAAGAGGCGCCCATACAGCAGGGAGAGCTTCCATCTGCCCAAGTGCCGGGCTGTCCCGTCAGCGGGCATTGAGTGTCTCGTGTCGTGGGCCTTGGGATAGAATTGTACGGACCGCCACCAGGACTGGTGTCAGACTCAGCGTGAGGTGCACAGGAAACGTTGGCTGAATCTGACTGGATTCTCTCTTCTCTCTTTCAGAAATGTTTGACCTGGAAACAAATGAGCATGTACGGAAGGCTATAAGTGACCGGCAGATGCCCAAAGTGGAATACAAGGAAATCGAGATGGAAGATTACAGTAAGTGCTGCGTCTTTCCCTTTAAAAGGAAAAGCAGCATCTGATCTGAAGCGGCCCCCTAGGCTCCCATGCCCTGTTCCCTGCTGAGATGGATTCTACATGGAGAGACACTCGGTAATGCAGGGCATTCTGGTACAGAGAGGCCACTTGGTACGGCTCTGTACCCCGAGGCAATATATCAAAGGAAGTCTAGCCCACCCACATGGATGACATCCATGACTGGTTCAAACTTCCATACAGAACCTGGAGGCCATTCAGATCCAAACTCATGAGAACCCTCAAGTTAACTAGATACATGCTTTTGTGCTGTTCTTTTATAAGGAAGAAACAAAAAGGTAAGAAAGCTAGACCATTTTATTTTATTTTAAAATTATTTTTTAATATATTTTATTGATTTTACACAGAGAGGAATTGAGAGGGACAGATTTAGAAACGTCGATGAGAGAGAAACATCGACCAACTGCCTCTTGCACACCCCCCACTGGGGATGTGCCCACAACCAAGGTACACGCCCTTGACCAGAATCAAACCCAGGACCCTTCAGTCTGCAGGCCGACACCCTATCCACTGAGCCAAACCGGTCCCAGCAGCTAGACCATTTTAGATTGCTAGTGATGCTGGATATGTGGGTGGATGGATGGATGGATGGATGGATGATGGAAGATGGATAGATGATGGATTGATAAAGATGGATGGATGAATAGGTGATGGAGGATGGATGAATGGATGATGGATTGAGAGAGATGGATGGATGGATGGATGGATGGTGGATGGATGGATGAATAATGTATTGAAAGAGATGGATGGATGAATGACTGATGGAGAATGGATGGATGAATGGATGAATGAATGATGGATTGATAGAGATGGATGAATGAATGGCTGATGGAGGATGGATGGATGGATGGATAAATGATAAATTGATAAAGATGGATGAATGATGGATGGAAGGATGATGGAGGATTGATTGATGGATGGATGATGGTTGGGTTAACAGATAATGGGTGGATGATGGATGGATGATGGATGGATGGATAGATAATGAATGGATAGATGATGGATGGATGGATGGATAAATGGATGGATAAATGGATGGATGGATAGGAAGATGGATAAATACACAAGCAAGCAACTCTCACATGTTTGTCCTGACCTCACCCCCAAACCTTCCATGTGTAGCTGCCGACCTCAGGACAGGCCCCCTCGCCTGCAGAACCCAGTACAAAATGTGCATGCGAGCACTTCACTCGCAGTTTATGATGAGGGCAGAGCATTAAGCCCACAGCAGGCCTTATGGGCCATGTGTGTCTGCATGGATAACATGCTGGAAAGCCAGCCAGGTGGACCTCCACGGCCAGACTTCAAACTCCTGACTCACCCCTGCCCACTGGTCAGCCAGTGTTCCAGAACCCCTCACCGTTCCTCACACCTGTCACTTCCTGCCGCAGCCTTTGAGGACAGATCGCATCCCTCGGTGAGGTTCGCCTTCATCTCCTAAACCCAATGTCCCTTCTCCAATGCAGCCTGCACACTGCTGTCACAGGGACAGTCCCCAAGCCCCCAGCCACTAGCGGCAATGCCATCCCCTCCTCAGAGAGTGCAGAAAAGGCCTTCGGAAGCCAGCTACCAGCCTCCCTCTCCCCGCCTGGGGTTTCACTCACAGGCACATGGAAGTGAGGATGCCCCAGATTCTGAAAGATTCCGCTCTGCAGACCTGCTATTGTGTGTTCTGTTGTGTTGGTTGTATTGTGTTGTGTTAGTTGTATTGTGTTGAGTTGTATTGTGTTGAGTTCCGTTGTGTTGTGCCATGTTGTGCTGTGCTGTGTTGTGTTGAGTAGAATCGTGTCGTGTTGTGTCATGTGGTGTTGTGTTGTGTTGTGTTGGTTGTATTGTGTTGCATTGTGTTAGTTATATTGTATTGTGTTGTGTTATGTTGAGTAGAGTCATGTTGTGTTGTGTTGGTTGTATTGTGTTGTGTTGTGTTGAGTTGTGTTGTATTGTGTCATGCTGTGCTGTGTTGTGTCATGTTGTGTTGTGTAGAGTTGAATTGTGTAGAGTTGAGTTTTGTTGTGTCGTATCATCCTGTGTACATGTGAATTAGATGTGTGAAAGGGGAGGGATGGGCACTGCGCCCTGGGGGTGACAATATGTGTTGGGTTGTGTTGTGTTATATTGTGTCGTGTCATGCTGTGCTGTGTTGTGTGGTGTTGTGTTGTGTTGCGTTGAGTTGTGTTGTGTCATGATGTGCTGTGTTGTATGGTGTTGTGTTGTGTTGTGTTGCGTTGAGTTGTGTTGTGTCATGCTGTGCTGTGCTGTGTGGTGTTGTGTTGTGTTGTGTTGAGTTGTGTTGTGTCATGCTGTGCTGTGCTGTGTGGTGTTGTGTTGTGTTGTATTGTGTTGGGTTGTGTTGTGTCATGCTGTGCTGTGCTGTGTGGTGTGGTGTTGTGTTGTGTCATGGTGTGTTGTGTCGTGTTGTGTTGAGTTGTGTTCTGTCATGCTGTGCTGTGCTGTGCTGTGTTGTGTTGTGTTGCGTTGGTTGGTTGTGCATCGGAGGCTGCAGCTTTCCTCCAAGCAGCGCGCCTTCTAGAAAGACAGGAAAGCCAGCTGCCAGTCCCGGCCAGCTCGGCCTTGGGGCTTATCACCGGTGGCAGGGAGCAGCCCAGACCATGTTTTATGGATATTTCAGCGATAAAGTCAGAGCCTGCCTTTGTGCATCCCGGGGCCATTGACCCAATTTGCAAGCCATTAGCATTCAGTCAGAATCGGAATGAGACCTGGTCAGAGCGGCTCCCCAGTGGCAGGAGGGGTGTCCTAGAGAAATTCAGCTGGGAAAGCTGCTAATTCTGATTTAATTGGTAAACAAGTTCTGTTGGGAGGGAAGTTTGGGGGGGACGGAAGAAACTGGTGAGGAAAACCCACCCGGCACACGTTCCACACTGCCAAGGACCAGATCTCAGTGGCCCTGGGCCGCGCCAGCCCCCCCCGTGGTGTGTGGAGGGGTCCGGGCCCAGAGGCACCTGCCCGGCGCCAGCCTGTGCACAGCAAGGGGGCGGAGCCCTGGGTCTGCACAGAGTCCCGGGGTCTCCGCTGCCCCCCTGGCTTCCCGGCCTCACGCCTGCCCCTCCATTCCTTCCTCCTCGCTATGGCACTCGCAGCCGCCAAGTCCCACCCCTCCCGGCCTGGGGCCTCTGTGAGCAGAGAGAGCCAGTCTTGCCGTGGCCCAGTTCATTCTAATGGAGACACTGAGCCTCAGAGATGTTGGGCGACTTGCCCAAGACGAACCCCAAGCCACCCTGGCCCCTTCCCCCGGTCACGCGGCCCTGACCCTCCGCCTGTGTTGTGTGTCTGCCAGGCCTGTCCATGCAGATCCTCAAGCCCGCGACCTTCACGGAGACCACGCACTACCCGCTGCTCCTGGTGGTGTGAGTACGCCTCTCCGGGCGCTCTGGGGACTGGGTGACCCGGTAAAGGCTGAGGCCGGGAGGGAGACGCTGCTGCAAAGTAAAAGCTTAGGTCAGCCTTCGGCCACCGCCAGCTCCTCTCCGGCGACCCCGCCTCAAAGGGCCGCGGGCTGGGTGGCCCCGGCAGTGTCACAGGCAAGCAGGTCTGAGCCCGCCGGCGGCTGCCGTGGTATCCTCAGGCTCAGGCAGGGTGCAGATCTGATGGCAGGTCAGGGGGCTCCGAGCCCCCGGGAGTTCTTGTAACGCTGGCACTGTCCACGCCACCCACTGGCTAGAGGTAATTTCCAGCCACAAAACTGCCATGAACCCTATGCATTTGCCAACAGAGACTTATTTCAGACACGCTGGGCTCCCAACAGGCCCTGGTCCAGGTGCAAGAGCAGCGGGGTGAGGTCTGCCCTCTCGGAGGGCGGAGTCTGATCAGGTCCTGCCTGAGTGCCACCTGCCACATGCCACGTGCTGAGTGTGGCAGTGCCACTCACCGAGGGGAGCACTCCTCACAGTCAGCACATCTCTATACGCCCCACCCCCACCCCACCCGGCCTGCCCGTGGGAGCCAGCAGGCTCGCTTGGAGGGTCATCATGGGGCAGCCCTGGGGTGTCCAGGGACCACAGGGACCACACCTCACAAATGTCGGGGAGCCCGAGGAGCGGTCACCTGGCCCAGCTCCTTCCTGGTTCAGGACGCTCACCCAACAGGAATGAAAGGCGGGGCCAGCCGGCTGCCCGCGGGTCCCAACCTGTCCCCTGCGCCCTGTCTACTTCCTCCCTGTCTGCACAGGTCAGCGCTCTGCCAGCCTCCACACACCACACACCACACACATACACAGCATACACATATACACAGCACACAGACCACATATACTCAGCATATACCACACACCACATACCACACACATATACACACATGCCACACACATACACAGCACACAGCACACATATACATAGCACATACATACACACAGCACACACATATACACAGCACACACATACACAGCACACAGCACGTACATATACACAGCACACACGTATACACAGCATACACGTGTGTGGCACATACCACACACATACATGACACACGACACACACATACACTGCATACACCACAAACATACACAGCACACAACACACACATATACACAGCATACACCACACAGATACACAGCACACACATATACACAGACACACAGCACATACCACATATATATATACACCACATGCATACACACAGACACACAGCACATACCACACATATACACAGCACGCACATATACATACCATATACCACCCAGTACATACCACACATATACGCAACACAGACCACCCACATATACATAGACACACCACATACCACACACCACACAGAAATATACAACACACACCACATATATATACACTGATACACCCTACATACCACTATACACCACACACGTATACCCAGACATGCCTTACATGGCACACATCACACAGGATCACACAGCACGCACTGCACAGCCCGCCTGCCCTCCTCCGTCCCTGCAAAAGCCCCCGGGGCAGTGATGGCACCGGCTGCTCTCAGGGTGGCACCCCCACCAAGGAGAGCGATTTAGGAGCCGCCCTCGCCCACGCCCATGCGGGCGCGCAGAGCTGCTAAACTTGCGGGTCCCCGTTTGAAAGGGCCTGTGTGCAGCCCGGCGTCTCCACGGTGGGAAGCCGAGCCTCGGTGTCATCCGCCAGCAGGGGTGTCCCCGCGTGGGGGCAGGAAGACGGGCTCCGTCGGAGGTGCAAACGCCATGGCACCGAGGGCGTGGGCATGGGCGTGGGCGCTGTCTTCCGAGTCACCAGAAAGAGACTCCTCAGACCTGGGGTCCGTCCGGTAAAGCAGCAGCCTGTCCTGTCGCTCCGGCCTGGTGGGAACTGAGGCCCAGGCACGGCCACCGGGGAGGGCGTCTACGGCCCTCGCCAAGGCCCTCGGTGACTCCCAGCCGGTGCCCACGCTCCGAGTGCCTCCGCACCCACGTCCACCGGCACCCAGGGTGGGCACGTTGCCACCGCACCCACCAGGGAGGCAGACCGGGCGCTGAGGGGCGGGTGGTGCAGGGTCGCGGCCCTCAGGTGAGAACCCGGTGCCCCCGCCCTCTGCAGGGACGGCGCCCCGGGCAGCCAGAGCGTGGCCGAGAGGTTCGAGGTGAGCTGGGAGACGGTGCTGGCGAGCAGCCACGGCGCCATAGTGCTCCGGTGCGACGGCCGGGGCAGCGGCTTCCAGGGCACCCGGCTCCTGCACGCGGTGCGACGGCGGCTGGGGCTGCTGGAGGACAGGGACCAGCTGGAGGCCGTGCGGTGAGCCCGGGGGGGGGGGGGGGGGGGGGTGCCGGGGGGGGGGGGGGCGGGCCGGGGGGGGGGGGGCGGGCCGGGACCAGCTGGAGGCCGTGTGGTGAGCTCCGGGGGGGGCGGGGGGGGCGGGGGGGGGCGGGCCGGGACCAGCTGGAGGCCGTGTGGTGAGCGGGGGGGGGGGGGGGGGGGGGGGCGGGGGGGGGGGTGGGCCGGGACCAGCTGGAGGCCGTGTGGTGAGCGGGGGGGGGGGGGGGGGGGCGGAGGGGGCGGGCCGGGACCAGCTGGAGGCCGTGCGGTGAGCCCCGGGGGGGGGGGCCGGGACCAGCTGGAGGCCGTGCGGTGAGCCGGGGGGGGGGGCCGGGGGGGGGCGGGCCGGGACCAGCTGGAGGCCGTGCGGTGAGCCCCGGGGGGGGGGTGTGCCGGGGGGGGGGGGGGGCGGGCCGGGACCAGCTGGAGGCCGTGCGGTGAGCCCCGGGGGGGGGGGCGGGGGGGGGCGGGGGGGGGGCGGTGGGGGGGCGGGCCGGGACCAGCTGGAGGCCGTGTGGTGAGCGGGGGGGGGGGGGGGGGGGGGGCGGGGGGGGCGGGCCGGGACCAGCTGGAGGCCGTGTGGTGAGCGGGGAGGGGGGGGGGCACGAGCTGGAGGTCGTTCGGTGAGCCAGATGGGGGGGTGGGGGTGGGGGGGGTTGACTGGGACCAGCTGGAGGCCGTGCGGTGAGCCCGGGGGGCGGGGGGGGCGGGGGGGGGGCGGGCCGGGACCAGCTGGAGGCCGTGTGGTGAGCGGGGGGGGGGGGGGGGGGGGCACGAGCTGGAGGTCGTTGGGTGAGCCGGATTGGGGGGGGGGGGGGGTTGACTGGGACCAGCTGGGCGTGCGGTGAGCTTCGAGGGAAGGATGGGGGGGCGGGGGCGGGGCCTCCTCGGCCTCTGCCGTCTTCCTGGTCCTGCACACGTGTCGCAGGCAGCACAGCCCAGTGCGCTCATGGACGGAGGAGCCCTCCCACGTCACAGCTCTCACGCCCCAGCTCGTTGGCGGTTCCATAATAAAACCCGGGGCCGTGTCCAGGCCCATCTCGCCCTCTCGATGGGAGAGCACGTGAGCGGGCGGGTGCACACAGCGGTGCCCGTGCCTGAGGTCAGAGAGCCGCGGCCTGAGTCACTCCCGCAGGTGCCCGCCCACGAGTGCCAGCTCAGCACAGGCATCAGCGCTCAGTCACACCGAGTTGGCTGCTGCCCACGAGGATGGGACCTCGGCCGCAGACACACGCACATGCTCAGAGTGACAAGAGGGGCAGGAACACGCGAACAGCACAGACCCAAACTGTGGCCTTGTCGGGACGCGGAGCGTGCTGCTGGACGTGCGAAGGCCCGGAGCTGAGGCCTGAGTGGCCGAAGGGCTGGGTGTGCGGCTCGCGCGTGCTCACACACACACACACACACACCGCCGAATTCTCCACCCCAACCCCCAACCCCCGCCAGCAGACCTGTGTGCTTTCAGGCTTAAATGATGCACTCACTGCCTTTGCAAAACACCCCTCCCTCATTCTAAAAGGGCGGATGGCGCGGTGTGTGCCAGGTCAGTGCCTTTAAAATGGCGGTGAGGACGGTGCCTCCCCCAGGGAGTGGCGGGCGCTGGGCGCCGGGCGGCGTGTCCAGAGCCTGTGTGTGTCAGGCAGGCCCGGAGGAGAGAGACATTTCCCAGACCCCATGGCCCAGGAAGGCACGGGACATTCACACACACACACACACACACACACACACACACACACACACCGTGAGGAAGGGCGTGGGTTCTGTGAGCCCAGAGGGCGGCCGGCCTCAGAGCTGTCGAATCCAGGCCCTCTGCACGCTGCCAAAGGCCAGGCCCTCGGCGTCTCCGCTCAGCCGTGCACCCCCAGCGGGCGGGTGACCCTCACTGGGGAGGCTGCCAGGAGCACCCGCTGCGAGCTTCTCCCTCCGCCATCGCAGGCTGAGAAGGGAACCCCTTCCAGAAACTCCCAGAAAGGAAGGGAGGAGCTCCCGGAAGCACCCAGTACAGCACTCGCTGCATCTCCTGCTCCCTGGAGAACCCAGAACCTGCCGGACACGCGGGCAGTTGTCCTGAGGGAGCAGGGAAGGAGGGGGGAGGGTGCCGGTCAGCGACCAGCTGTGTCCACCACGGATGAGGCCTCAGGCTGGCGAGCAGTGACAGTGGGCTTTGGTCAGCAGCCGTGGGGCTATCCCCCCTCATCTGTGCCTTTCCGCCTGACCTGCCTCCTGTCTGACCTCCGGCCCCTCCAGCACAGGGCTCCAAGGGACACGTGTCCTCCGGCCGTGTGGCCGTGTGGCCGTGTCTATCTGGTCCCCTCTGCCTCGGGGACAGGGACAACAGGCATTCCACATGCAGTGTTTTCTAAAAATAAGGAATTGATCTGCCATCTGTCCAAAATCAAAGCAGAACCTGCTCCCGAACAGAAGTCAATAGAGTCAAGTCTCCCACTCCTACAGCTCATGGGAGCAGGAGCACACGGCCACTGCACACCCACGGCCACTGCACACCCATAGTGACTACACACCTACGGCCACCACACACCCACGGCCACTGTACACCCACGGCCACTGCACACCCACAGCCACCACACACCCACGGCCACTGCACACCCATGGCCACTGCACAGCCACGGCCACTGCACACCCATGGCCAACCCACAGCCACAGCCACTGCACAGCCACAGCCACTGCACACCCATAGTGACTACACACCTATGGCCACCACACACCCACGGCCACTGTACACCCACGGCCACTGCACACCCACAGCCACCACACACCCACAGCCACTGCACACCCATGGCCACTGCACACCCACAGCCACTGCACACCCACGGTACTGCACACCCATGGCCAACCCATACCCACAGCCACTGCACAGCCATGGTCACCGCACACCCACAGCCACTGCACACTAATGGCCACTGCACAGCCACAGCCACTGCACACCCACAGGCACTGCACACCCATGGCCAACCCACAGCCATGGCCACCACACACCCACGGCCACTGCACACCCACAGCCACTGCACAGCCATGGTCACCGCACACCCACAGCCACTGCACACCCACAGCCACTGCACACCCATGGCCAACCCACAGCCATGGCCACCACACACCCACAGCCACTGCACAGCCACAGCCACTGCACAGCCACAGCCACTGCACAGCCATGGTCACCGCACACCCACAGCCACCACACACCCACGGCCACTGCACACCCATGGCCACTGCACACCCACAGCCACTGCACAGCCATGGTCACTGCAGGACCAAGGCCACTGCACAGCCACAACCACTGCATACCCATGGCTACCGCACACCTATGGCCACTGCACACCCACAGCCAACCCACAGCCAAGTCCACTGCACAGCCATGGTCACTGCACACCCACGGTCACCGCACACCCACGGCCACCGCACACCCATAGCCAGCACATTGCCCACAGCCACCATATGCATGCGGGCTTTCAGAAGCTCAGGCCTAGAAGTTCAAGTCCAAGAAAACTCCACTAAGCTCTGTGTGGGTTCAGTCTGTGCTTTCGTTTAAGAACCACAGGCCAGGCAGCACCAGCTCCCGATTGTCCCCCGGCCCCCATCACCCCCCTCCTGCTGCCGTCCCGGGGCCCACGTGGCCCTGTCCTCCCTGGCCTAGCCGCTGAGCGAGGGGAGGGGCAGTCGCGTGCACACGCTGGCCAGGCAGAGGCGGCAGTGGACGGGCTCCTGGGCCGGGCAAGGCTTCACCGGCAGGTCATGGGGAGCCCATTTCAAACAGGACGTTAGGAGCAAAGGAGGGGGTCATGCCGGCACAGGCAGAGCTGTGGAGGCGGGTAGGAGGATGCTACAGACTCTCAAACTGCAGTTTGAGGAGCAATGACTAAAGGGAGCGCCAGGCAGGGACCCCCTGCCTAGAGCTGGGGACAGAGGACGCCTCGGGTGCAGGGAACCCGGCTCCCTGACCCCCGCCCTGCACACAGAGCTGGAGCCCCCTCTGACCTGGTGACCCGGAGCCCCTCCCAGCGCTGGGGAGGTGGGAGCCACGTGGTCTGAGTGAAGGTGACGCAGGAGGGCAGGGACCACGGGGCCTGGCCCCCGGGCCCGGCGGCTCTGCACTCAGGGCTCCGGCGAGTCGGCCTGGATGTCCTGCAGAGGCTGGCAGGGCGCCTCCCAGTGGCTCAGGCACAGACTGCCACACGGTGACGGCAGGGCACGCCCTGCCCCACCACGCCGCCAGCACTGTGGCCGACGCTGCCTCTCGCTCCGCAGACGGATGCTGAAGGAGACGTACGTCGACAGGACGCGCGTTGCCGTGTTTGGGGAGGTGAGTGCGCTGTCCTTCGCCTGGTCACCCCGACATTCAGGACGGGGACTGAATGTCCACCCCCAGGCTGGGTCAGGTTCACCAGGCGTCTCGGTCTGGAGCTGTGTGCGCACTTCTGTACACGTGAGGGCGGGCCGGGAGCGGGGAGGGCCGCTGCCGCTGGGACGGGGGACTCTGGCTCGTGGACACACTCATACACATTCACACACTCACACACAAACTCACAGAAATACACATTTGTACACACACTCATACACAAACACATGCTCATGTACACTCATACACACACTCATGCACACTCACATTCATCTACAAACATGTTCACATACGTTCATACACACCTACTTACATGCAAACACACTCGTATACAAACACACGCTCACGCACACTCATGCACACGCAGCTTTAACAGTTCTCCCCACGCCCTGATTCTCTTGGCCTGGGTCCCCCTCCGACCTTTCTCATCAGACATCACACCCGTGCCCTCCCTCTGGGTCAGACCAGCGCACATGAGCCGGATCTGTGGGTGCCGGGCAGGGAGTGGTGTCCCGTTGGGCTGTCTCCGGGAGGCACACATGGAAGCCAGGCTCTTTCGTGTCCACCCCAAGGCAAGGACAATGTCAGCGCTTAGGGGGTGACCCTGTGCAGGACACATGGGGATGTCTGTCTCATGGCCGCCTTAGACCCGGTCCTGCTCGGCCCTCCCTCAGAACCACAGCAAATCAGAGTGGCTGGCTCTGCGTGTAGACAGCGAGTTGGTAAGGAGCACGGTAAAAGATGCTCTGAGGGAAGGACCGGAGCACAGCCCTGCACCCACGCAGCCCCCTGTCACTCACCACCCTCACCCAGTCACTCCCCAGCACTGGGCATTCAGGCCGTGCACCAAGTCGTATTTAGATGGCAAGCGTTTGCCTTTCATTTTTTACCGCCCTGAAAAAAATTTTTTAAGATTACTATTGATATTAGAGAGAAAGGGTCAGGGAGAGAGAGATAGAAACATTAGTGATGAGAGAAACTCATTGATCAGCTGCCTCCTGCACACCCCACACTGTGGATCGAGCCCATAGCCAGGCATGTGCTCAACCACTGAGCCACACCAGCCAGGCCCTGAGAAACATTGGAAGTTGGGATTTTTTTTTCTGAGCAGCTACATGAAATGGCTGCTGGAGTGGCCGATATGTCTGAGTGTTTTCCTGGCTGAGTTACCGACAGGGACCCCCACTTACCTGTCCTCTGCCCAGGACTACGGCGGCTACCTGAGCACTTACATCCTCCCAGCGAAGGGAGAAAACCAGGGTCAGATGTTCGCCTGCGGCTCGGCTCTCTCTCCAATAACGGACTTCAAGCTCTATGGTAATGCTCTCTACCCACACCACCGGCCCCTCCCATGGCCCACCGCTCCCCTCAGCTCCACACCCACCACCCCCTCCCGTGACCCCACCACCCTCTCCTGTGACCCCACCACCCCCTCCTGTGACCCCACCACCCCCTCCCGTGACCCCACCACCCCCTCCCGTGACCCCACCACCCCCTCCCGTGACCCCAGCACCCCCTCCCGTGACCCCACCACCCCCTCCCATGACCCCGCCGCTCCCCTCAGCTCCGCACCCACCACCCCCTCCCGTGACCACACCGCACCCGCCAGCTCTGCACCCACCACCCCCTCCCATGACCCCACCGCACCCGCCAGCTCCGCACCCACCACCCCCTCCTGTGACCCCACCGCTCCCCTCAGCTCCGCACCCACCACCCCCTCCTGTGACCACACCGCACCCGCCAGCTCCGCACCCACCACCCCCTCCCGTGACCCCACCGCTCCCCTCAGCTCCGCACCCACCACCCCCTCCCGTGACCCCACCGCTCCCCTCAGCTCCACACCCCACCACCCCCTCCCGTGACCCCACCACCCCCTCCTGTGACCCCACCGCCCCCTCCTGTGACCCCACCGCCCCCTCCTGTGACCCCACCACCCCCTCCCGTGACCCCACCGCCCCCTCCTGTGACCCCACCGCTCCCCTCAGCTCCATACCCCACCACCCCCTCCTGTGACCCCACCACCCCCTCCCGTGACCCCACCGCCCCCTCCCGTGACCCTGCCGCTCCCCTCAGCTCCGCACCCACCACCCCCTCCTGTGACCCCACCACCCCCTCCCGTGACCCCACCGCCCCCTCCTGTGACCCCACCGCTCCCCCCAGCTCCGCACCCACCACCCCCTCCTGTGACCCCACCACCCCCTCCCGTGACCCCAGCACCCCCTCCCGTGACCCCGCCGCTCCCCTCAGCTCCGCACCCACCAGCTCCGCACCCCACCACCCCCTCCTGTGACCCCACCACCCCCTCCCGTGACCCCACCACCCCCTCCCGTGACCCCACCGCTCCCCTCAGTTCCACACCCCACCACCCCCTCCCCTGACCCCACCGCTCCCCTCAGCTCCGCACCCACCACCCCCTCCTGTGACCCCACCACCCCCTCCCGTGACCCCACCACCCCCTCCCGTGACCCCACCGCTCCCCTCAGTTCCACACCCCACCACCCCCTCCCCTGACCCCACCGCTCCCCTCAGCTCCACACCCCACCACCCCCTCCCGTGACCCCACCGCCCCCTCCTGTGACCCCACCGCTCCCCTCAGCTCCGCACCCACCAGCCCTGCCGGGCACCCACCTGGACCATACACTGCGCAAGCTGTAGGGCTCATGGCAAAGCTGGGAGACAGGGAGGCTCACCCCTTGTCCTGGTGCCATCAGCCACGTGACCAGCCCTGGTTCTCACCCTTCGATGCTCACAGTGGCCGCAGTGGGCGCAGTGGGCGCAGGAGACCCGGGCGAGCCAGCGAGATGGGGTACTGGGACCCTCACACTGCGCTGCCTCTGCTCTGCCTCAGGGCGGGGCTCCGCGTGGGCTGTTCAGGGGGATCGGTGGGCAGACGGCGGCAGTGCGATGGTGCCGCCCTGAGGGCTCAGCTCCACTCCCTCTGCCGCCTTCCTCCGGGCGTGTAGGGCCGAGCAGCACCGGCCCTGGAGAGAGGCTTGGCGGGCAGGAGCCGGGACGGGTGGGTGCCAGGATGGCCCGCTGTGGGACCGCCCAGGTGTGGGGCCAGACGACCGCCCGGGCAGTTTCGGGGGCTGAGGCTCCCTCCCCCGTCTCGGGCCAGCCAGCCCTTTCCTCCGGACGAGAACTGCTTTGTGGCCGAAGCGCGTGCGGCCTCCCGTGGCCACGCCACAGCCGCGGCCCCGGAGGCCCGGACTCCTCGGTGCACCCGCGGCCACAGGCTCTGCACCGCCTCTGGCAGGTTCTCGTGCAGGTCACTGCCTCCCCCAGAGCTCCGGTCAGAGTCAGTCTTCACATGGTTTCCCACGGGAACACGTGGGGCTGTCTCAGAATCCCAGGCTCAGCGAGGCTTCTTCAGATTTGTAATCACTCCATTTCACGTGTGCCTGATCCGTCCCACCAGTGCCGCCTCCGCACCTGGCCCATCCCGTGCCCGCTCCACCTGGCCCATCCCGTGCCCGTCCACCTGGCCCATCCCGTGCCCGTCCACCTGGCCCATCCCGTGCCCGCTCCACCTGGCCCATCCCAAGCTCGCTCCACCTGGCCCATCCCTGTGTCCGCTCCACCTGACCCATCCCTGTGTCCGCTCCACCTGACCCATCCCCAAGCCCGCTCCACCTGGCCCATCCCCAAGCCCGCTCCACCTGGCCCATCCCGTGCCCGCTCCACCTGGCCCATCCCGTGTCCGCTCCACCTGGCCCATCCCTGTGTCCGCTCCACCTGACCCACCCCCAAGCCCGCTCCACCTGGCCCATCCCCAAGCCCGCTCCACCTGGCCCATCCCGTGCCCGCTCCACCTGGCCCACCCCGTGCCCGCTCCACCTGGCCCACCCCGTGCCCGCTCCACCTGGCCCATCCCGTGCCCGCTCCACCTGACCCATCCCCAAGCCCGCTCCACCTGGCCCATCCCCAAGCCCGCTCCACCTGGCCCATCCCGTGCCCCCCCCACCTGGCCCATCCCGTGCCCCCTCCACCTGGCCCATCCCGTGTCCGCTCCACCTGGCCCATCACTGTGCCCGCTCCACCTGGCCCATCCCGTGCCCCCTCCACCTGGCCCACCCCGTGCCCGCTCCACCTGGCCCATCACTGTGCCCGCTCCACCTGGCCCATCTCCGTGCCCGCTCCACCTGGCCCATCCCGTGCCCCCTCCACCTGGCCCATCCCCGTGCCCGCTCCACCTGGCCCATCCCGTGCCCGCTCCACCTGACCCATCCCCAAGCCCGCTCCACCTGGCCCATCCCGTGCCCGCTCCACCTGGCCCATCCCTGTGCCCGCTCCACCTGGCCCATCCCGTGCCCGCTCCACCTGGCCCATCCCTGTGCCCGCTCCACCTGGCCCATCCCCAAGCCCGCTCCACCTGGCCCATCCCCAAGCCCGCTCCACCTGGCCCATCCCGTGCCCGCTCCACCTGGCCCATCCCCGTGCCCGCTCCACCTGGCCCATCCCGTGCCCGCTCCACCTGGCCCATCCCCAAGCCCGCTCCACCTGGCCCATCCCGTGCCCGCTCCACCTGGCCCATCCCGTGCCCGCTCCACCTGGCCCATCCCGTGCCCGCTCCACCTGGCCCATCCCTGTACCCGCTCCACCTGGCCCATCCCGTGCCCGCTCCACCTGGCCCATCCCTGTGTCCGCTCCACCTGGCCCATCCCTGTGTCCGCTCCACCTGGCCCATCCCTGTGTCCCCTCCACCTGGCCCATCCCTGTGTCCGCTCCACCTGACCCATCCCCAAGCCCGCTCCACCTGGCCCATCCCCAAGCCCGCTCCACCTGGCCCATCCCGTGCCCGCTCCACCTGGCCCATCCTGTGTCCGTTCCACCTGGCCCATCCCGTGCCCGCTCCACCTGGCCCATCCCTGTGTCCGCTCCACCTGGCCCACCCCGTGCCCGCTCCACCTGGCCCACCCCGTGCCCGCTCCACCTGGCCCATCCCGTGCCCGCTCCACCTGACCCATCCCCAAGCCCGCTCCACCTGGCCCATCCCGTGCCCGCTCCACCTGACCCATCCCCAAGCCCGCTCCACCTGGCCCATCCCGTGCCCGCTCCACCTGGCCCATCCCGTGCCCGCTCCACCTGGCCCATCCCGTGCCCGCTCCACCTGGCCCATCCCGTGCCCGCTCCACCTGGCCCATCCCCGTGCCCGCTCCACCTGGCCCATCCCGTGCCCGCTCCACCTGGCCCATCCCATGCCCACTACACCTGGCCCATCCCTGTGCCCGCTCCACCTGGCCCATCCCATGCCCACTACACCTGGCCCATCCTTGTGTCCCCTCCACCTGGCCCATCCCGTGCCCGCTCCACCTGGCCCATGCCGTGCCCGCTCCACCTGGCCCATCCCTGTGCCCGCTCCACCTGGCCCATCCCTGTGTCCGCTCCACCTGGCCCATCCCTGTGCCCCGCTCCACCTGGCCCATCCCTGTGTCCGCTCCACCTGGCCCATCCCTGTGTCCGCTCCACCTGGCCCATCCCGTGCCCGCTCCACCTGGCCCATCCCATGCCCGCTACACCTGGCCCATCCCCGTGCCCGCTCCACCTGGCCCATCCCGTGCCCGCTCCACCTGGCCCATCCCTGTGCCCCCTCCACCTGGCCCATCCCTGTGTCCGCTCCACCTGGCCCATCCCGTGCCCGCTCCACCTGGCCCATCCCGTGCCCGCTCCACCTGACCCATTCTGTGCCCGCAGCGGGACGTGGTCGCTGCTGTGACAGAGGGCGCTCTTTGGGGCACTTGCTGATGGAGCCTGGGCCAGGCCAGCGTTCAGGACAGAGCAGACAGGCCGAGGTCAGACTCGAGTGCAGCCCGCTGGGAGTGGGCGCTGTCCTGTCCTGTCCCCGGGGTCCCGTCATTAAGCCTGACACCACCCAACCCCGAATGCTTAAACATCGCCCGATTTCCGTATCAGATCCAAGGGGGCCACACAGGACACTTCCAACAATAAAGACTTAAACAACAGAAAAAAGCTCCGGGGAAAAATAAAAATAAAAAGATCCAGCAGGCCTGGTTTGGTTTTTAAGACAGATGTTTGCCAGGAAGAGGAGGTGAGCCGGCCCCAGGGCCCAGTCCGGGCTCCGGGCGGGGGTGACCTCTTCCTCTGTCCTCCCACAGCGTCGGCCTTTTCCGAGCGGTACCTGGGCCTCTACGGACTGGACAACAGGGCGTATGAGGTAGGCCCCCACACCGCCGCTGGCCAACGGGACGTCAGTGAATTCCTCCCTCCTCTCTGAGTTCCTCCCTCCCCTCCCACCCGGCCCAGCACAAACCCGGCTCCCTCCAGCCTACGGTCCCTCCTCCCCTCTGGAGGACCGTCCACCGCCTGTACGTTCTGTGAAAGGAGCGACTGTGACCCCTCGGAGGGTGTCATTTCTGACTCTGGAACTTAGGGGCCAGGAAGAAAGCAGGAGGCTTTGATGGAGGACCTGTCCTGGTCTTTAGGTGCTGGGTGCACATGCCTGGCTCCTGCCCCCAAGGCCACACAGTGACAGTGGGGATGGCACATGGCCCTCCTTCACCAGCGCAGTGACAGGCCAGGCTCAGGATACAGGGTAGGGTCCGGGGTTGAACCTTTAGCAAGAATAACAGAAATGTCACCTCCCCTGAGCCAGCACTCCTCCATCCCCGTCTCCTTCCCCGTCTCCCCCCTGTCTCCATTCCTGTCTCCTTCCCCATCGCCCCCCTGTCTCCTTCCCCGTCTCCCCCGTCTCCTTCCCTGTCTCCTTCCCCATCTCCCCCCTGTCTCCTTCCCAGTCTCCATCCCTGTCTCCATCAGAGGAGAACAGTCAGTATCTTCCATCCCTGTCTGCCTCTGAAGGGTGCAGGGAGGGAAGGGGGCTCCCTGAGGTGCTATGTGTTCACCGCGGACAGAAAGCCCCGTCCCAGACCCTGCTTCTGAGCCTGGCCCTAATCCTCGGGGTCCCCACACACACCCTGTGTGGCCACTAACCGCCCCCTCGCCCTGCATGCAGATGACCAAGGTGGCCCACCGGGTGTCGGCGCTGGACGGGCAGCAGTTTCTGATCATCCACGCGACGGCCGATGGTGAGCCCCGAGGAGCCCTCCTGCGGACGGTGAGCAGCCCCTGCCGGTGTGCGGGTTCAGACACACTGTCCTCTTCTTCCCGCAGAAAAAGTCCACTTCCAGCACACCGCCGAGCTCATCACCCAGCTGATCAAGGCGAAGGCCAACTACAGCCTGCAGGTACGGTGCACGCTGTGCTGTGCTGGGCTGTTCCCTTCCCCAGGGCAGGAACCACATGTGGATGGCGTACGGCCTTGTACGCTGGCGTGGCCGTCGGCGTGGGCAGGGCGTCCCACAGACTAAGCCTGTGCTTACTTTTCAATTATGATAGTTCGGTCTTGCAGATGGGCCGTGCTGAAACCCCGTTAGGCCACCCTCCCACCTCCACCTCACTCTGTGCGATGAGCAAGGCCAGGCAGCAGCCACACACAGCCGTGGCGCCGTGTCCCTGGCATGTGGAATGGGGGCTGCCGTCCCCACGTAGACAACAGCATGTTGGCGGGTCCCGCCAGCCACCCTCTAGGCCAGCGGTTCTCAACTTCCTAACGCTACGACCCTTTAATACAGCCCTCACATTGTGCTAACCCCAGCCATAACATTGTTTCCGTTGCTACTTCATACTGTGATTTTGCTCCTGTTATGAATCATGATGTAAATATCTGTGTTTTCCGATGGTCTTAGGCCGCCCTGCTAGCGGTTCTCAGCCTGTGGGTCGTAACAGCTCTTTCGAGAGCAATGCCACTGCTGCTCGGCACACTTCTCCCACTGCCTTCCTGGCCACGGGTCTCTGGGAGAACAGGCATGGCTCCGACGTCTTTTGGGGTCCAGTGATAGGCGGGAGACGTCCCTCAGAGAGCACCTGGCACTGACCCTCACCTGCCTTGGTTTCCAGCCCCTGGCCGCCCACGTTGCTGGCCTGTGAGGGCCCTGGGCAGGAGGGCAGGGAGAGCTTCCTGCTCAGGTGTCCGGCTCGGGTGTGCTGACGGGGACAGGAGGGCTGGCTGATGTGCTGTGTGCTTCCTTCCGGAACGATCGGTCGCAGGCTGTGACAAGGCCTGTGGGATGCCGGCATGGCCGATGGGAGGAGGTCTCAGGGCCCCAGACAGAGGCTGTCACATCAGCAAGGCACTGAGCAGACTCCCCAGACCCCACTCGGGTCGAGGAGAGGGAACCCACGAGCAATGCCAACCTGCAGGCACCACAAGCGCCTTAGCAGGTGCTCAGTGAATCTGTCAGAGTGGGGGAAGGGGGGAGTGTGGGCAGGGCCCCAGGCAGGGGGGCCTCTCTTCCCACAAGTTTCTTTTCTCTCTTGTGCTGCTTGAAGTTTAACACACAAACAGGTGTCCCCAAAATATCCATGCACACTTTAACAGCAGGTAGCTCTATTTTGAAAATGAAATCTATTTTCATAAACACTGCCTTTATAATTATTCAAAGTGTGTGTATACATTTTGGGGGCACCGTACATAGCTCAGTGACAGCATTAAAAAATACTTTAAAATAAAGTGAGTGCCGTCCTTCAAAGACACATTCCAAACGCAGGTGTGCAGAACAGCGGGGTTTCCAGGTCTGTTAACTTGGCTTTGAACCCCACTGGGACAGATACCTTTCTGTGGACATGACACAGCTCCCCTAGGGCACGGGAGGTATCATTACACCTGACAATATTCCCGCACTCCAGACCTTGTGCTGAATGCTCCCGGTTTAATTCCCTAAAACTTTACAGCTACCGTGTTTCCCCGAAAATAAGACATCCTCCGAAAATAAGACCTACTTACAGGTTTCCTTCTGAGTGAAATATAAGGCATCCCCTGAAAATAAGGCACCCCTAGGCTAAACATGAGAGATTTGGTCCACTGATTCTGAAAGAAATGGAGTCACAACAAATTCACTAGGAAATTCAGGAATTGGATTGTTATGATGATGTTCCAGAAGATGATGACATGATTGTCATTGAATAAATGAGTAAATTCTTGATACTGTAGGATTCAGTTTGTCTGGTTTGTGTTGACAACTACCGTACTACCATACCGTATACAGGTAATAAATTTCCTTTATTTTCATTTAACAATAAATGTGTACCGTATTCTTCTTCATGGAAAAATAAGACATCCCCTGAAAATAAGACCTAGTGCATCTTTTGGAGCAAAAATTAATATAAGACACTCTTATTTTCGGAGAAACAGGGTAGATTGTAGCTGGTGCATCGCCACCTGACACAGCCGGGAACTTATCTGTCCACGGCCACGAGGGGAGTGTGAGCCAGGAGGCCTGGGCAGATGGCAGCCCAGGAAAGCTGCAGAGAAAGTTATAACTCGGGTTGCAGAGAGCTCGGCCTCGGAGCTGCGGCCCCTGCGCCTATCCTGCACGTGGCTTCCTGCTGCCGGTTCCGGGCGGTGTGGAGGCCGCTGGACACAGGTCCTCCTGGGCGGCCGCCAGGCGGCCTGGTCTGGCGGGGCTCCGAGGAGGAGGCACTGGGCCGGGTGGGACATTCACATGCAGGCTCCAGCGCCCTGCGGTGCCCGCTGCGTGGGCTGCACCCGCCCACGCCCACACCCCGGGAGCACGGGCAGCCGGTCACTCTCGCCCTCTCTGCAGATCTACCCGGACGAAAGCCATTACTTCCACAACGAGCGCCTCAAGCAGCACCTGTACCGCGCCATCATCACCTTCTTCGCCGAGTGCTTCCGAGTCCAGGACAAGCCGCCGGCCGCCCCGGCGAAGGAGGAGGAGGAGGAGGAGGACTGAGTGCTCACGGCCTGCAGTGGCTCCCCCTGGACCGGGCTTGTACTGGGGACCCCGCCCCGCTCCGGGGCGCTGGGCTGAGGGCGTAGCACGTGCGTCTGGGGCCCCGAAGGCAGTTCTGCTTCTGAAACCAGCTCCTCCCGCCCACGCGCCCCGGAGCCCGGGCCGCACGCATGCCTCCTGCTGGAGCCAGGCCGGGGCGAGGGCAGGGGGCAGAGACCCCGCTGGCACACCGCCGATGCAGCCACGCCGCCCGGGCCCGAGCACAACGCCCAGCAGCCTCCGCCGCCCGCCTGCCGGCACCGGAGTCAGCCAGCCTCACGGAATCAATGCGTATTTTTCTATGGTTTCTATCTGGCATGGTCTGCGGCCAAGGGTTGCTTCTCTGTGCTTGTTTTGTTTGTTTTGTTTTGTTTGTTTGTTTGTTTGTTGTTTGTTACCCTTGGTTTTGCTTCATTTCCTTCCGTGGGTGGTGAGCTTCGTGTGTTTGGAGATGAAACGGATGGGAAGTGACTGGCCACTCTCTCCTGAGCGGCTGCAGGCTTGGAGGTATTCCATAACACCGAGGGGAACAGCCAGCACCACTTACTAAAGCAGGAATACGTAAATAAAAGCTCTCCCACCGCTGCCCGGTCCGGCTTAGTTCTCCTGTCCACCCACATGTGCCCTTAACCCTCACCCCTCCTTCTCGATGGTGTCCAGTCTGTTCAGATGCCATTTGGTTTAAAAAAAAAAAAAAAAAACATAAAAGGACAGAGTTGCCTCCCCTCCATGTCCATCCTGTGAGCTCGGGGACGGGAACCCGGGAGGACAGGAACCGGGAGGACAGGAACCCGGGAGGACAGGAACCCGGGAGGACGGGAACCTAGAGGACAGGAACCGGGAGGACAGGAACCCGGGAGGACGGGAACCTGGAGGATGGGAACCTAGAGGACAGGAACCCGGGAGGACAGGAACCCAGGAGGACAGGAACCCGGGAGGACGGGAACCCGGGAGGACAGGAACCTGGAGGACGGGAACCTAGAGGACAGGAATCCGGGAGGACGGGAACCTGGAGGATGGGAACCTAGAGGACAGGAACCCAGGAGGACAGGAACCTGGAGGACAGGAACCCGGGAGGACGGGAACCTGGAGGACGGGAACCTGGAGGACGGGAACCTGGAGGACAGGAACCCGGGAGGACGGGAACCCGGGAGGACGGGAACCCGGGAGGACGGGAACCTGGAGGACGGGAACCTGGAGGACGGGAACCCGGGAGGACGGGAACCTGGAGGACGGGAACCGGGAGGACAGGAACCCGGGAGGACGGGAACCCGGGAGGATGGGAACCGGGAGGACAGGAACCCGGGAGGACGGGAACCTGGAGGACGGGAACCTGGAGGACGGGAACCCGGAGGACAGGAACCCGGGAGGACGGGAACCCGGGAGGACGGGAACCGGGAGGACCGGGAACCCGGGAGGACGGGAACCTGGACGACAGGAACCCAGGAGGACGGTAACCTGGAGGACGGGAACCGGGAGGACGGGAACCTGGAGGACGGGAACCCGGGAGGAACGGGAACCTGGAGGACGGGAACCTGGAGGACGGGAACCGGGAGGACGGGAACCTGGAGGACGGGAACCGGGAGGACAGGAACCCGGGAGGATGGGAACCTGGAGGACGGGAACCGGGAGGACGGGAACCCGGGAGGACGGAACCTGGAGGACGGGAAACCGGAGAGGGAACCTGGAGACGATCCGGAGACGGGAACCTGGAGGACGGGAACCTGGAGGACGGGAACCCGGGAGGACGGGAACCCGGGAGGACGGGAACCTGGGGGACGGGAACCCGGGAGGACGGGAACCGGGAGGATGGGAACCCGGAGGACGGGAACCTGGAGGACGGGAACCCGGGAGGACGGGAACCGGAAGGACAGGAACCCGGGAGGACAGGTGGCCTGTTCGGCCACGCCTCCTAACCTGGGAAGCTGGGTGCCACCCTGCCGCCTATGGGCAGCCATGTGGATGCCCTAAGGCGCCCCACCCCCAACTCACCCTGTCACCTGCATGCCACCTCCACCCGTCTGCCTCCACACCTGCAGGTGTGAGCCCATCACCCCGCCCAGGCGCCCAAGCTCTTCACACCTGAACGTCAGGCTGGCTGGGGTCCCAGCCCGGTCAGAGGTGTGGCCATGCCGCGGGGGGCTGGGCTTGGAGGCATCGTGAGGGCAGGAGCAGTGCTCCCCGGAAGGTCTCCAGCACGGGGTGTTTCAGGGCCATGTCACGGTTTGTGGAAAGGACGGAAGTGCTGGCCTCAACCACCTGGGACCTGACGTGGTCACACTTCTGCCATCTCTGTGGGTCTGTGGGAGGAAGTGAGAACTGGTGTGGCATGGGTGCTCATCCTATCTAATAAGAGAGTGATATGCAAATTGACCATTACTCCAACATGCAAGATGGCCACCTCCGTGTGGTCAAAGATGGCCACCCCCATATGGACACAAGAGGGCCACACAAGATGTCCAGCAGGGAAGGATAGTTGTGGCGATCAGGTCCGCAGGGGAGGGCAGTTGGGGGGGACCAGGCCAGCAGGGGAGGGCAGTTGGAAGGGACCAAGCCTAAGGAAGGGCCATTGGGGATGACCAGGCCTACAGGAGAGGGCAGTAAAGGGGAACCAGGCCTGAAGGGGAGGGCAGTTAGAGTGACCAGGCCTGCAGGGGAGAGGGTACCAGACCTGCAGGGGAGGGCAGTTTGGGGTACCAGACCTTCGGGGGAGAGCAGTTGGTGGTGAGCACGTCTGCAGGGGAGGGCAGTTAGGGGGTACCAGGCTTGCCAGAAGGGTACTTAGGGGTGACCAGGCTGGCAAGGGAGGACAGTTAGGGGTGACCAGGCTGGCAGAGGAGGGCAGTTAGGGACAATGAGGCTGGCAGGGGAGGGCAGTTAGACATCAATCAGGATGGCAGGGGAGTGGTTAGGGGGTGATCAGGCTGGTAGGCAGAAGTGGTGAGGGGTAATCAGGCAGGCAGGCAGGCAAGTAGTTGGGAGCCAGCAGTCCCAGATTGTGAGAGGGATGTCCCAGATTGGAGAGGGTGCAGGCTGGGCGGAGGGACACACACACCGTGCTGCTGCCAAGCCCGAGGGCCCAGGGCCATCGTGCAGCCGCTGAGGCACAGGTAAAGAAGAACGGGGAGGCGGCCAGTGTGAGCGTGAGATGAGGCTCTGTGGGATGCATCAGTCAGCTGGGCACTGAGATGGCCCTCACCAAGGCTGGCAGGTCAGGGCACCCCTGCCCCGTTGCGACCCTCCCCACGTGGTGCCAGCCTGGGGCAGCGGGCTTTGGTCCAACCCACGTGAGTAAAACGAGGGGGTGGGGGCACGGCCTGGCCACCTGTGGGTCCTCTCCGCACGCCAGCTCCTTCGCTCTCCAAGTCCCGGCTCTAGCGAAAGGCGCCTGGTGCTCCGGGCCGGAAGGTACTGCTCAGGAGGCCAGGAAGGCGGCGGAGAGAAACCTGTGAACCTGCCACCTGACCAGCAGCCCAGGACCCGGCACCATCAGAAATGGACCGGCTCAGAGCACACCGAGCTGGGGGGAAGGCAGCCGCCTGGGAGGGGCCTTGCCACCAGCCGGCTTCCGGTGGATCCGCTTCCAAGGAAACTGGGTCTTTGGTTCCTTAGCTCAGTCTATCCCGGCTAAAGAGCAGCGCGGGGCACATTTTAGGGGAGAATTACGACTCTAAAGCAGTGTGATCTGTTCCCGGGAGATTGCCACCCAGTTGTCTTAGGCCTAAATTCCGGGTGATGGTGGGACCTGGCTCTGCCACTGAGGCCGCATCTTCCAATTGCCCCGTGTTTGTTGAAAGGGCCCGAAGGGAAGAAGGGAAGCACGTTTTTTGATGTAATGGATTTGACCAAGACAAAGGCCAGTGCCGGGCTGAGTCTAATGTACACAGAGACCCCTGCTCTGAGTCCGCCTGGCCAGAGGGAGCTCAGGGCCTGTTCGCAGAGCTTCTGGGGTTTCTGTTTCCTTGCTGAGGCCGTCCTCCCTGGGAAGCCTGGGCCCAAGCTCAGCTCCAGCTCAGCGGGTCTTCTCCCCCCAGCTGGCCCCCACTCCCACTCTGATCAGGGACAGGGCCGGCCAGCCTCCCTCAGCCCTCCCCGCCGGCTGGCCTGGCTGGATCAGGGCAGACCAGAGGACCCCCTGGTGCACGAATTCGTGCACTGGGCCTCTAGTCCCAGACTAAAACCCTGTTTTACCACTCGGAGCGCTCTTCCTTTGCTTACCCTCCGGCACATCACGTGGAGAGTGTGCCAGTGATGGGCGGCCTCTGGGGGGCCCTGAGCCCACGCCCCCAAGCCCCTGCACCCAAGGCAGCCCCCCTGCTGACCGTAGACGGGCGAACCAGCCCCTGCCGGTGCCCCGCACAGAGAGCTCTGCTGAGGCCGCAGCCACAGTAAACCCTCTGGTTTTCGGACCTCAAGTTAACAAACCGGATTTAATGGTCAAAATTTCCAGTCTTACCATCCTGTCAATTTTAAAATGCTTTTAACCACAATTTGCTTATAGGTTAGATTTTTGTTAGTTAATTCACTGCTGCTCATTATTTTTTTAAGTAAGGTGTTTTCAGAGTTAAAAGGTACACTTTTTTTCCTCATCAAACCCTTTGTTAAAATTTGTGACTAGATTAGGGTATCTCAGAGCAAAGGGCATGCTTTTGTTTGTTGGTTAATACTCGCCCCGGCCTATTTTTTTCTTTGATTTTTAGGGAGAGGGGGGTGGGGGAGAGAGAGAGAAGCCTCGATATGAAAGAGATGCATTAATCAGTTGCCTCCCTCACACACCCAGGCGGGCACCAGAAATGGAGCCTACAACCAAGATACGTGCCCTTGACCGGAATCCAACCTCGGACCCTTCAGTCTGAGGGTGATGCTCTAACCTCTAAGCCAAGCTGGCGAGGGCAACGCTTACCTATATATAATACAACTATAGTCTCCGTGTCTAAGTCCAAGAGCCACGGCCGGCAGACAGTGATGAGGACGATGGTCCGTGCCGCCCTGTGTCACCGGCCCGGGTGCTGTCTCCTGACGCAGCAGGTCAGCAGGTGCCACCCCCTCAGCGGGTGCATCTGTCCTCGCGCCCTGCCACTCACACTCACTCGCCTGTTCAGCATAAATTTATCATCGCAGTAGCACCTGTAGAAACCTCTTCTGTGAAAGTAAACGTTCCCTACATGCTTCATTTTAACTACACAAATGTGTTTACGTAAGTAAAAACATTAAACCGATTAATTTGTCAATTTTAACATATGCATTCAGAAAGCCTGCTTTATTGTGTGACGGACTTTCTGCTTTAACGGCCACGCCCTCGCCCGAGCTGGTCTGTTCCTGGGGTTTCACAGCAAGACTTCCCACCGGCGCCCGGCGAGAAGCCCGTTCCCGCTGGCTGTTCATCCGGCGGGTCTGGCGTGAGCAGAGCTGCCCCCCTCTCCACCCAGAACCCCCGGGTGCTGGTGCCGAGGGCCTGGCTCCAGAGCAGCCTCACTCTGAACTCTGCCCATCCCCGCACAGACAGGGGCCCCGAAGTCCAGAGCAGACCAGGGAGTCAGGCCACCTCACACAGGAAGCATCTGAAGCCGTGCCTCCGGGGT